AGGACTAACTGGTTGTAGAAAAGGCCGCAGCGAAGTGGCAGCGTGGGGCTGAAGTTCCACCTGGTGGTCACAGCCCCAGGTCCTCTGACCAGAGCGGTGGCAGGACAGCAGTGGGGCCAGCAGCCTGCCCAAACCACCTTGCAAGAAGTCACCAAAAAAGTGAAGGCCAGCAAAAGCTTACACCAAAGCTTTAAAGGGCCACAACGCAATTGACCTATTGCTTACAATTCTGTCAAAACACATCTTGGACTGGTCATGCCAGGACTAACTCAGGTGCACCATACATGGTACATAGGGATGAAGTAAAGAAGTTGCATAAAATTTATTTTTCCACCTTGTTTTACAACATTCCCTTTTAAGTTTTTACACATCTGCAACATATAACTCCACAGAACAATAAATAATTGGCATTCATATTTCTCTTGAATCAAGAGTATTTACACATTGTTTAACTAGATGACAGGTACAAAACATCGGCATCACAGTAAATATCATTTTGACACCAGAATCCATTTCCCCAATTAAAAATTAAATTAACTTAACATTTATTTTTTAACAATTTTAACAATTAAAAATGTTCTCCAAGGCATATAAGTACACAAGTTGTAGTAGGCAGTAGTAATGGACCATATTGGCAAAGCTGTAGAACCCAGGATTTCACGCAAATCAAAGAGCTTATTAATTACGAAATAACTCATAATAAATAAAAAGTGAAAGAGCCCAAGCAGCTCACACTGAAGATTTTAGTGGGCACTGGACTGGCCCCAGCAGCTGTGGGGATGAGTCAAACCCCATCCCAACAGCAGAGTGCAAAGAACTCGTGACAGTGAGCTGCAGGAGATGGTAGTTCACATACCTGGTCTAGAGCACTGCTCGCCCACACCGAGGGTTTAGGATGCACCAGGTGATGCAGCAGTTTTCTTCAAAAGATAAAGCCAAAAGACAAGCTTTAGGGATTCTCACATCTAATTCTCTGGGGCTCCCTGAAAAAAATCAGCTCAACTACAGCAAAAATTTTCCTCAGCAGTTGCCGAGGACGAGAGAGGTTGTCACGGCATTTAACTGCCATAGTTGAGTAGACCACAGAAAAGCAGCGCCTTTGGTGCCACTCAGTTTGGTCCAGCCACAGCTGTAGCTCTCAGCACGTAGTTCTCAACACCGAGGGGCCACAGGGATGTCACTCATCGCTCCCCAGCCCAGCTCTGATAAGACCCTGCACAGATTTAAGCTGCTGATGTTGAATAAAGAATGTTGCATTTCAACTGCGCTGCGAGCTGAGCAAAACAAATGTTTGCAAAGATGAAGAGGGCAAGCTCTACGGAGGGAACAAATACAGAGTTAAAGGAAAAAGAAAAAAAACCCCACCAATGAATAGGGTTGCAACACACCTGGAATTACTGCAGAGGTGCAAGAAGAGAACAGTGCATGTCACAAAGCCCCCACGTTAACCCCCCACGGCAGCAGCACAGCACAGAGCACTGATGTCCCCAAAGCAGGTGGTGAGACAGAGAGCACTGCCCCACAGCATCGCTGGGGCACAGCCCCAAAGCACACCAGTTATATGAACTGCTACAGTACAAACCAGAACAAAAAAGGGTGGAGGAAGAACACTAAGGCAGGCTACAAACAAGATACTACATGGCACAAGAAAACAATGCTTCACTCCCAACAAGCACAAATTACGAGCATACTAGAGGAAAAAGACTAAATTAAATTTCCAGCAGAGAATCCATTTATTCAAATGTACAATAAGTATGAACATATGTATTAAACTTTGCTTTTAAAAACATTTTTTTAAATAACTTAAGAGAAATAGATTGCAGACATAAAGTGCTAAACTTGAAAAATACAACAATCATCCCTCTTTCCTGCTGTTTGTTAGATGGCAGTTTTAATTTTCTGACTGCTTTAAAAAAATGCAGTGTATACCCGGACAGAAATTACTTCCTGGATTTACAACCTTGTGCAAAAAAAAAAACCTAGCTGCAAAGGAATATAATTCACACTCCAAAACACAGCTACAGATTACTATCAATTCCACTAAATATGTGTTCCTTAATTAAAGTTAGGATTCAATAAATATAACTGAAATCACAATTCACCCTCTTTCGTAGTGTAAGCTTATATTTTGCAAATATGGTCCACTCAGTGTAAACTGTATTGACTTCAGGAAACAGTGAATTCTACCATATATACGTCTCAAATATTTACATACAGTAGCATGGCACTGTTATTCTTGCAGGACATTTAACTACTAATACACACGTGATAGGGACAGGGCTTTACAGAGATGTGTACTGCGATGTGTTCGCCAACAGACAGGAGGGACTTGACTTCTCAGTCACAAGAAGTTGCCTAAAGAAATTCTTGATTCTTGTATTTAAATCTACTTCAATCAAATGCTGACTGGGGACTCCAGAACACCTGCATGGCCGACACTATCCAGGAGCTGCAGCAAGTCATGATAAAGACAATATTAAGTATCTTTTTGGCAAAGTGGCGTAACTCACAAAAGGCTGTTGGCCAACTCCCCCACAAATGGGCTGTTCAGGCACCGCTTTTTCTCCGTGAGACAAAGCACTGACAAGTGCTGGAGGTCTAGGGCCTTTCCCAAGATGAACATGCATGTCAAACAGGTAGAATTGTATATTATTATTATTATTAGGGAAAAAAAATAGAAGAGAAGGGAAAAAAAAGGCATTTTTTTCAAACTATTATGAAAAGGTGAATACTAAGAATTAGCTTTCCTCAGCCAGTTGTTTCTGAAGGTGATTGCTATGTAGCAAGACGTCAGATGGCTGGCACACTTGCAAGTTAAAGTATTTACTGTTCTTCTTCCTGAAGGATTTTTGAAACATAATTTTCTAAATTAAGAGAGTTTGCCCCATATGAAACAACAAGTTCATATGGACTTGCACCTTCCTCTCACCTTAAGCCACATGCATTATGAACCACATCTCTCTCTAAATCTTCTGGAACTTGCTTCCCTTCCTCTTTGTAATTTCTCACAGGAACTGAAAGCAAGGCAGGCAGGTCAGGTTGTGCAAAATACCCCCTGGAGCAATTACCACCCAGCAACAACACAAGCCAGGGCTATCTTAGATCTGAAAATTCGAGACGTACCACTATGGGTCAACACAGACTCCAGCTCCCCTTTTAGAAGACTCCCATTTTCACACCAGACCTTTAAATGCAGCATCTAAATGCAGTGCTTCTTGCGACAGTGGAATGCCTGTAGCAATGGCACCAGAAGCTGGCAGTCCATTAGAGAGCTTCAGCACAGCACAGAGACAACCAGGGAGCTTCTGCTCCTCACACCAGTGTGGCTGCCCTGACCTGGAAGGGCTGCCTTGAGAGAAGAAAAGGGAGCTCAAGCTCTGGGCTCTGCCATTCCTGGTCCCTCCACACAGCCAACCAACTATGGCGCCAAGCAGGGCCAGCTCCAATGGTGGTTTTTATGATGTGGGAATGAGACAGCAAGCAACTAATTTAGCACAGACTAAACAGCCATTAGATGGGCATGGCTGCCACTAAAAGCTCATCGATGCTTGATGCTCAGACCCAATGGTAAAAGGTTCCTGTAACTCTCCATCATTCTCCTGAGCAGCCCAAGTAGGTGTCACTCTCCTCATGGTATTATAGCGTGGGCCAGTGCTTATTATAAAAAGAACTCATCAAGTTTAGCTACTGAAAATTAAAAATCAGTCAGTAAATTTGCTCTGCACACAAGCCTAACGCCTTCATGCAAACCCCATTCCTGCCTCCGTCATTCAAGTTTAGTTTTTAGAGCAAAGCAAACGCAAGGTTCTCAAAAACTGCCTCTCTGCAGGGAATGTGTCATGAACAACATCCACCTAGGAGTGCCTCAGCTTATTTCCAGCTCATCTTCACAGTCTCACCCTAACAGGAAACAGATTTCGTGTAGCTGTGAAGAGTAGCAGCTCTGTGACCTTTCCTTTCAGTCTCCAAGGATTCAAGACACGTCTGCCACATTGTCTGCAGAACAGTACGAGCCTCTTCTCACGTTGTCGACACATTTCAGTTCTGATCAACTGCGAATTTCTTTTCCAAAGAGGATTTGCTTTAGTTTAGATAATTTTCTTCTATACAAATAAATACAGACTAAAGCTATTATGTCACCAGCTCCTTCTAACAGGAAGCACAAAAGCCAAATAAAATTGAGTTTCTTCATTTTTGGACTACATTTCTCCATATTTATCAATGGTTGGATACCTCCAAAATCACTAGGGTGACTGACCGCATTTCAACTGAAGGAAAATCTCAAACACGTTCAGATTCTCCAGTGTGTGTAGATCCGACATGCTGGAGCCCCGTTATGGAAACAGCATGCCGTAAATCAGGAATCAGCTGTCAGCAGTACAGTGCATCACCTACATTAAGGGATTTCCAGGATGTAAAAAAGAATGTAACTACTTGAATCAAAAAGATAAATGATATAAAATAACATAACACAATGCAAGGAACAGCACAGATACTTTAAAAAGTCAAAATTGAGTTTCTTCATTTTTTGGACTACATTTCTCTATATTTATCAATGGCTGGATACCTCCAAACTCACTAGGGTGACTGACCGCATTTCAACTGAAGGAAAATCTCAAACACGTTCAGATTCTCCAGTGTGTGTAGATCCGACATGCTGGAGCCCCGTTATGGAAACAGCATGCCGTAAATCAGGAATCAGCTGTCAGCAGTACAGTGCATCACCTACATTAAGGGATTTCCAGGATGTAAAAAAGAATGTAACTACTTGAATCAAAAAGATAAATGATATAAAATAACATAACACAATGCAAGGAACAGCACAGATACTTTAAAAAGTAACTTAAATTTGTCAAATGTAAATTCCAAGGTCAGTTAGCAGCTTTCAGATACTTTTACCCATGCATGAGAAACCCACTGGCATCAGTTACACACATTTGACCCCAGTTAAGTTGAACAAAAGGGACAAAAACTGTATGAACTAACAAGTGCCTCTGCCCTCAAGAAAACTCCCTTTTATTGTTAGGTTCCCGTTCACGGCAGTTGTGAAGTCTTTTTTCAATAAAGCAGCATGTAATAGAGATTACCACATGATCCTTATGCAAATATCGGACGTATTCATTATAGTAACAACTACATGATTTTGTCTCTCAGCCATGTGCAATATTTGTCTCTGGTGAGCAAGGAGAGCAGCCCTAGGACGTGAGCTTCGAATAGCTTGGCGGAGAAAACCTTCGTCTCAGGTACTTCAGGACGTAGAGGGGGAGGCAGCTCACCAGAGTGATGACGGTGACTTTCCACAAGAACGACAAAGTTGCAATGAAGTAAACATCTGTAAAAAGAAAAGAGCGCAGAGTGAATGATGATGGGAAGTACATTCTGGGAAGAGGTGCAGAAAAGCAATTCAATCTACCAATGCTTCTTAAACAGCCTCACCTTCTCCACATGCAAATTCAAAGCTCATTGATCCCTTGCTCCTCACTCTTCTGTCCTACTCTTCCACAAAAGATACAGCTTTCTGCACAGCACATTTCAGTAAGGTGTGTAACTCCTCACAGGCAACTGCCCTTACACAGACCATCTGGAACAGGGGTTTCCATCTCCTGGCAATACTAACCTTCCTGTAAATGGACTGCTTGTCTTCTCACTCTGGGAACTGTCCTCTGCTACTTCGCTGGTAGTTCAGCAAACGCATCGCTCAACTCAGTTCTAATACCTCAGAATTGCTGCAAAAATAGTTGGAGCACTGTTCAAACTGGAGCTGGTGTAGCCATATGCAAGAGATATGGATCTAGCCCATTGGAATATCCTCATCCTCTTCAGAGTTAGCAAAGAGCTTTATGGAAGAAGTAGTGACACCTTGTGGTTCCCAAATGAAAACTGGAACAAACCCTATGGATCTGATACTTGCAACTAGGGAAATCTGGAATTTCTCATCCTTTTTCCTTTAGCCAGGGAAAAGGATTAGCTCTGTTTCAGGCAAATAAAAAAAACCCAACAACCAAACTCACAAGAGAAGGGCCCCAAAGAAGCAGATAAAATAAGGTAAATTTTTTGAGGCAGTTCCTTCACCCAGTTAAAAGATGAAATTTTTCAAACCAACAGCAGAGGCTTCCAACCTGTGGTCTTAAGCTCAGTTTCCATATGGAAACAAAGACCACCATTACAATTGACAGTTGATCCGTGGTGGAGCTCTGAAAGTATGGATGAGATTCACTGGGCAGCACAGTCCACTTACCTCTTTTACCTCCTCTACCATTTTGCTATGTGAAGGAACTGTAAAATATCTTTCAAGTGCCTTAAAATCGAATAGAGCTCGTTCTCGTCTGAACCACTGCCACTATAATTACCATTGGCTTCATCAACAGCCTTTAAGCTCAATTCAGCTCTGTATAGTCCTGTTACTATTCAGGTCATAAACTGCTTGGAGAAAAGGCATTTAACCTTACCAATAAACTCATGTAAGAAGACCAGAGAAGCTATGTAGCAGGAGAGACTAAGCAGCTCAGCCACTATCATGAGCCAGTGCCACGTCTGGATCGTCAATGCCACCATCAGTAACTCAGTGAGAATCAAGGATGTGAAGGAAATGGCAACAATGTGGACAAATTCAGATTCAAAGAGGAGGAGCGCTCCGTACATGATGATGCTACCTGCAAGGGAATGGAACATTTGGGTATTTTATTCAAACATCAATCTAAGCTCTAAAACCCACTGCTAGGTCTTGGAAACGCTGAAACATAGTCATGCCTTGAGACTGTTTTTCATGAAGCCTGATGAATGTAATAACAATGAATCAGTTACTATTTAGGAGACAGAACTGATGAGAAGACAGGGAAAAGTTACAGCAGAGGTGCCCAGAGTTTTAGAACAGTCTATCATATTCATAGACACATGGAGATAGGAAATTAATACACGCTATTTTGGCAACTGGAGATTTCTAACATCACGAAACTCTATCCTCCCAGAAAGCAGCTGGTCACTACTCAGAAGCTAAAAGATATCAAATATTTCTAAAACCTACTGCGTTGCCTCAGTGCCCAGATGGAAGCAAGGTGTTGAAAAGCTCAATGGATACAAGTAAGACTCTCTGCGCTACTTTGGCCAAGTTCCTTCCCCTTTACACCTCCCCCTAAAAGGAGCACACATTAAAGCACTGTTAATGATGCATTGTTTCGTGCTCCCATTCTAGCTAGCCCAGGGAACGCTCACAAGGACCCACACGGCCACCTGCACAAATAACTCATGTTAGCAGCATGAGTAATCTGCACCAACATCCATCACACTAGGCCGGTTTCAGAAGGGAAAACCTGCAAGTGACTAGAGCTTGAGCCACAAAGTTCAAATCCAGCTGTGAACTTTCCAAAAATTAGGACTTCTCAAGTTTTCAGTCAGGCTCATCTCTGCTAGCAACTAGCCCAATTGTTTGGCCTGCTGTTTTCTAGTTCTTTAGTACATCAGAAGTGAAGTCACTTTAACCAAATATTGTAACCAGATAGTGGTCTTAGCTCAATAAGAAATCTTTCCCTCAATGCATCACCCTCTGGCTTTAGCTTTCCACCACTTGTGAATTTTCTATAAATGCTTTGGCTTTGCCATTGTATTTGTACAGCATCAGAAGACTGTTATCCCTGTCTTGGGATAACAGAAGATAACACCAAGAGAGCTTTTACCTACTGAGGATGGTAATACCAACTACATCAGTAAGAATTAGCTGTTTATTTTGGCACATTTGTTCTGACTTGTTGATTAAGGGGGTTTTGGAAAACAAGACATTTTGTCACAGAATCGTATTGCCATCTTAGTTTTATAGTTCCGTGTTATTTGCACGTTTTCCATGATTCCTTGATTAACACTTATAGAAGCTATTTGAGTTTGAAGTTACTTGATAAAAAAGACAAACTGAAAAAAAAAAAAAAAAAGACCTTGCTGGACATAAACCCCAATTACTACATCCAGTTTTGGAAAACGGATGTATTGTAACTAAGGCATTTGCCTAACTGTTTAAGCAGCCAGATTAGAGTGTATGGCACACGATCAGGAACCTGAGCTCTACTCTAATCCTTCATTACAAATGGCCATGAAGTAATCAGAACTATTGCCACTTCTAATAGACAGGATTTAGATAAAATACATAAAGCTACAGATTCTGTATTTTGCACGCTGACTGACCTCTATAATCCATAGGTTTGAAAGCCTTTTTCAAAAGAAGGGAGGAGTCACAAATTCTACTTTGCAGATGGAGCAATTAAAACACTGAAAGGAACTTGCATGAAATTACACAGGATGGTCCCAATGGGAAGAGGCACAATGCTTTGAACTTCTACATCATTGCCTACAACAGGGTTGACCAGTTGCTGCCAATATTTAGTTTTAGATAATTTCTTCCTTTGATAAAGCTGCCAACATCTTCCGAGACAAAAAAAAAATATATATATTTATTCATTAGCCCAAGGATGCATTGCTAAATTCACTTCGTACCTTACATAACTTCCTGCAATACAAACAGATATTCTGTACTCATTAAAACATCCAAAGGCAAAGCAGAAGTTGATTTCTTACCTTGATAGATGCTTATTAAGACCCATATTAAAAATGTTTTGTATGATAATGGTCGTCCCTGGAGGGGGGGAAACAAAAACAAAAGGACAAAGCTCAGTTGGGTTTTCTTTTATAAACATTCACTTACAGATCAACCCAACAATTAATAAAAAAGAATTTGAAGGTGATTTGGAAAGAAAACAAAACAAATCAACCAGCCCTGAGGAACTGTATTTTTATTCTCATTTTTCATGATGTACGAAGGAGGCCTGGGACCGTGGAAGCTCACTGCTTGCACAGTACAGTACAACCTCGTCCTTATTGCACACAAGATTAATTCAATGCAAAGATGTCTCATGAGTTTAGTTATTGTACTGTGAAATATAAGATGTGTGCATACACATACATATGAATATATTAATATTATATTTCTAGACACACACACACAAATCACCATCATATTGAAGGCAGATAGGTTTTAATAAAAGCATCTCCAGCCAACGCAGTTATACCAGCACAAAAAAACCCTATGTTTAGACCAGGCCTAAGGATGGTTGGAGAATTAGTGGTTTATGACATAAGAGACAACATACAAGTGAAACCAGATGGAGACTTATTCAGGCTGTTGGAAAAACAGGCTTTGCTTCTGAGAGTATCTGTTTAACAGAAATCCTTGAGGGAAAGGATCTGTTGAAGACTCAGTCCACCCTTTCCTTCAATTAAGAAAGATGTTCCCGGTCTGCATACCCCACTTATTCCAAAAATTTTCCAGGAAAAAAAAAAAAGAATCCAAGACAAGATTTACCTTCCTGATATTTCTATGGTAAACATCAAATAAAGTTTTCTTTGTCCAAAGAGAAGGACCCAATTTCACACTAAAGCTACAAAACCAGCACAGCAACCAAACCTTTAGGACCCTTTAGATCATCCTCCTCAAGGCAAATTTCTATTAAAAAAAACCTATGTGATAACCTCCTCCGTCCAGAAAATCAGCTTATCCCTTCCCCCCATCCCCTTTTTTGGCTTCGGGATAGTGCCAAATCCCTGACAAGTTCTCTTTCCCCTTTATTTTGGAACAAATCGGTAATATTAAATCCTTAGAATTTCCCACAGAATGGAACTTCTATTTCTCCAGCCGTTTTTAATAAATTGCATTTCATGTAGCATTCAATAACAAACTGCCAGGAAATCTGGTTGTATCTGTTAATTCAAATTTGCCTTTAAAATAATTTTGCTTGAAAATGCATGATAAAGCCCTCTATTACTAATAAAATATTTGACTTTACACATTTAGAGAGTTTCAGATCAAGACAGGGATCCTGATCTGAAAACAAACAGACAAAACAAGAGTCTCCCACACCTTAAGAAGATCTTTGTAGAGCTCTGGGTACAACATTGCAACTTCAGATTTAACATCCTTGTCCAGGACTAGAGAAAACACTGGAAACATGGTGTAAATTGTGGAGTACCTGGGAAGAAGGTAGAAGATCAGTAAATTATCTATCAGCAAACAGAAATCCTATAGTCTTCAGAAAGGAAATACAGCATTCTTGAAGTGCCAAATGACGTACGTGTTATAAAAACTTGCAAATGGAACAAGCCAGAGTTTTGCATGTAGGAAAAACCTGCAGGGTTTTCTATTTGAATGGCTTTTGATTAGAAACACTCATACACAGATGATTGGTTCAAGTATTGCAACTGGTGTTATAGGGTTATTAATAGAGCCAGGGACAGACCTGTCCCCACCCCAAAGTTTGCTCTACAGTTCAGGCTTGATCCTGTTTGCATCAAGAGGCAATGGAGATTCATTTGCTGTTTTTTTTTTTTTTAATTATGTACTTGAAAGTCTACAAAGTTGTGGGAAAGTAAATTCCCAGTATATTTTAGACAGGAACTGATCCCTCCTGTTAAGAGGTTGGGTTGTCCCCACTTTCTGACACCCTCAGGAGCTGGGCACGGCCTGTCAGTGCTGTGCAGGGATCAGAGCATAATGACTGCCCCTCTGCTTTTTACTAGGATTGAAGGAGGACGGCTCACTTCTCGTGCTCTGAATGTGACAAACTGTCCTTTTGGAAAGGCTTCTAGAAGTACTTGTGCTGCCTTGGTGGCTTTGCTCAGTGCAGAGGAACAGAAAGGGGACAAGGATCATAACTATCTTCTGAAGCAGCGTTGTGAAACATACAGAGTGGAGATGTGCATGTCTTGCATGTTAATTAGCACAAATCTATTCATTATGCACAGGTTTTCCACACTAGTAGTAAAATGTGAGCTCTTACCCGATGATGAGAAAGCCTTGGTAGAGAGGAACTGAAGCAAAGTAAAATACTGATGAGAAAACAGCCTAGAAGAGAAAAGAAATAAGCTTTTCAGATGATAGGTACTGTAGTAAAAGTAACAGCTTAAAAATATACTCTGTTCAAACTGGAACGTACTTGCAGTGGGTTCTCCAAATTCCTGAAATGAAGACAGAAGAATGTAATACCAACCCTTTTTATTCCTACGCAAACCTTGGACGAAAGCTATGTTTAATAGCAACTACTGGAAAGCTGGATTTGGAAAAGTTTTTGTAATGCAGTTCCATAGAAAAGAACATAAAGAGTTTTCTCCAAAGCCCACTGGTTTGATCAAAGCCATTCAGATGTTGTGAAGGACAGGTGCATACTTATTTATGCCTGGATGATGTCTTCACAATGTAAAGAGTATACACTCACTAATACAAACTCCATGTAATTCAAGATTAATTTTTCCTTTGTCAGAAGTTATAGGTTTTCTGTTCTTGTTTTCAGCTGCAAAATAAGCTAGACTGTCCCCTGAGTCTGAACCTTTTGTCTCTTTGTATCTCTCTCCAATGTGTTTACTCTAAAAAGAGGACAGGGCAGAATCAGCCTTCTCAAAAATATCAAATGTCTTACTTCAAAAAAAAAACCAAACCAAACTAGTATTTTTAAGAAATATATCAGTATGCTATGGCATGGAAATGCAACTCCCAAAGAGTAACCTCTGTCCTTAACTGTAACTTTCACTCAAGTCATCACAGCTAAGAATGGAATTTGGCTCATGAACTCTAAAAATCTCTTTCAAAGCTCCCTGCCAACTGGCAATTGCATTTTGTTACACTGAGGCTCAGCACACACAAACAACGTAAATTTTGTGAATACTAAATCTGTTTCTAAGGCTCCTTTTGAAATGGAGAGGAAGAGACCACCTCCACGTTGCTGCAGCAAGCTGCTGAGCACTTGGGAAGGTTAATATCTGCTTCAGCAGCCTTTGCAGCACGGCTCCTGTGAACACTCCAGAGCACGCCAGACCAAGCTTTCAGTAACCTCATCCAGGGTCTGAGCCAGGTCCCTCTCAGCTGCCTCAGAAAGGCCTTCAAACAGTGAGACTGAAGTTAAAACATACCTGAAAATAAGTGCACTTACTCAGCAGAGGCCTTGAGAGTATTACTCTGCTTCAGATTTTCTGTATTTGCTAGCATTACTAAATGACAGTGATGACATGATGCATGAAAGCAGTGTTTTCTAAGGCAGAATATTGTTTGTCCAATTTTGGAAAAGCTGCTGACATTTGTCTTACACCAGGAACTTTGTTATGTGTTTTCAAATCAAAGTAACAGACTTAAGTTCCCACCCATGAAAATTTTCAGAAGAAATAGCTGTGTCTAAAATGAAACACAGAACCTGTACTTTTTTGATTTTACTTTTTCAAGTCTCCATTGGGAAAGCTGTCATGACAGTCCATTTACCTGCATTGTGCTGATGCACAGGCTCCTGTGGATCACAAACTGACTGAGAGCTGCAGACCGCTTGTAACTGTTCCTTCCATGCACCATGAGCAAACGACCCAGATGTTTAAACTGAGTGATAGAGAAATCGGCTGCAAGTGATGCCTGTTTTCCTTCCTGTGTACAACAGCAAGTAAAAGCATAGTGAGATCATTGCATTATTTGAAATAAAAAAACATTGTATTATTATTTAGTTATTACTGACAGAATTTCTATGAAAATTTGCAGTACATTAGGTGGGGGAGAGTATTACCTCAGCACTTCTGCCTTCCACCGTGACTTTTAAGCAAAGAGCAAAACTATGAAGAGAATTCCCATTTGAACCCTGGCCTCCAACTCCAAGCAACCCTCTGGATTATGATTCACAACACGCATGTTAACGTGACACTCATATCAAGTCAGTTCTGAACACAAATTTTCAGTCTCAAAAGTTCACTCAATTTTAATGTTTTGGCTCACTGCAAGCAGAGTCTTTCCACTGCCGCCAAATTCAGTCTTGTCATTCCAAGCAGCTCCACATGCAGGAACCAGAGCTCTAACCCAGAGTTTGCTTTCTAAATTATATAACTGGTTTTTAATTGTCCATGTAGTGTGTACCGTATCAGAGCAATTACAACTCCAGCAATTGGAGCATCTACACATGATTAAAAAACCCCAAACTAAACACGACGGTCCAAATTCAGGGAATCTGCCAAGAAACAAATAATGAACTTGAACCCTGTTAAACAGTTGTCTCTTTTACAGCCAAATTATTTTTCACAATACGGCTATCAGTCTGATGATTATTTTTGTGGAAGCTTCTCACTTTCTTGCACAAATTTCTGCGGATTCATTTAAGAGTGAGTTACAAACTAGCTCCTGAATTGCCACAGGAAGAGTTACTAAAGACGAGGTAATCTCACCTTTCCTTCAACTCCAACACCACAGTCAGCCTCCTGAATCATGCTAACATCATTCCCTCCATCACCTGCAGGCCAGAGCACAGACAAACTATGTTGGTAGTTAAGCAACAGAGGAAATCTGCAACCCCACCAAAGGCATCTGCACCAGACCGTATTAGAAGGAACATTTAACCCTATCAACAAAAGCAGGATTTTTAATAGAAATCATGAATTTAAAATCTTTAAGAGGCTTTGTTTTGTTTTTAACAGACCCATAGTTCACTGATTACTTTGACTTGTAGGTCTACTGTTACACCTACAACACTGAAATAAAACTCACAGATTAACAATGGCACTTTACTTGATCAAGGTCAAGCAAAGATATCGCCCCAAATATTTATGAGTAGTTGTTCACTGAAGTTTTCATATGCAATATTTCATCTCATCAAGTTCACGCAAGGATATCGCCCCAAATATTTATGAGTAGTTTTCACTGAAGTTTTCATATGCAATATTTCATCTTATCAATCATCCTGCAAAAATGCTGTTCTCTAACTCAGTATTTCCAGCTATTACACGATGACTCGGGACTGTTCACTCAAAAGAAGAAATAATAAAGATGCCACCCTACATGGCCACTCCTCCCTCATTAGTCCCTTACCTACTGCACAGGTGAGTTTGCCAGTCCTCTCCTGGAGCAATCGCACGATCTGGGCCTTCTGTGTTGGAGCACATCTGCAGCACACGACGGCAGGGCACTGGCAAGCCAGCTCCATGAACTCATACTCGTAATATTTCAGGCACACCTAATTTGCAGAGATCAGAAGTGTCACCAATGTTTGGGCTACGGAAGTTTCTTTTTCAAAAAATCCTAATTCAGCCACGGTGTTTTGGGGCTGTTCCTGAACAGCCTGAGATGTTTGGAGCCTACCTCCAACGAGTCACCAGAGATAACAAGAGCGCAGTCGTGTTTCCGGCGGAAGGCGTTCAGCTCTAGATGGGCTTCTCCACGGTTAGTCACCTGGGGAAAAGAGATGGCAACTGAGGAAAGGTTTACTTCACTGGGGTGAAAAAAACAAACAGACGAGCCTCAGAAGGAGCAAAAGCAATAGGGACAGGCAGCACACTGAGTTATTCAGATAAACGAAAGCTCAGGGGATAGAAAGCTGGGTCAAAAAAAAAAATATGAATACTATGGGTCCACTGTTGGAAAACAGTTGTGACCTCAGCACCCCTCCTGTCCCAGAACTTGGGGTCCCAAACAAGTCTGGAGAGAGGGGAAGGCGGGTGTTACTCACTAGTCTGAATATATGGATGTCCTGTGTCCGTGTCACCAAATGCGCGTTCTTGGCTGTACAAGTGGCTGTCTCTAGCTTATCCCCTGTCAGCATCCACACCTAAAATCCAAATATTTAATGGATTAAATACAAAACTTAACAACCATGCCTGCAGGACATCTTGAACCACCACCTGCCAGTTCAGGCACATAAATGGACTGTTAGAATACGTATATACATTATTTTTCTAAAAAAGCCCTATTTTAAAACATACAAGAAAATTTTCACAGATGAAAGAAAGCAAAACTTCTAAAGAGGCTGAAACACAAAAGAAGTTACAAACTATGTATAACATTTTTCCCACCTGCAATATTTCAAGATTCTGCTGATAAACCCACAAAATGCAAGCTAAAGAATGTGTATGCGTGTGTTAATATGTCCCACCCCGGCTATTTCTCCTACGCTGAAATAAGCGGGCCTTGCTGCAGAAAGATCCCTCATGGCCCTGCCTGAAATGTGGATGATGCAACTGGGGTTAGCTCACTGCTGATGTGTGCATCTGGAACAGACTAAGTTGGTTGGTTGTTTTTTTTTCTTAGATTTTTTTTTTTTTTAAATATACACTGCTCCTTTTATTTTGTGCTGGTGCGGGGCGGGGGGGGGCATTATAAAGCAATGTCAGCAGCAATACTCAGCAGCAATACCCTGTTATAATCTGGCAGGGAATTCCCTCAACAGTGTAAATATATCAGAGTTTGTTTTGTTTTTTTTTCCACTGGTGTTTTTATTCTTTCAAGACACTGCCCAAGAATATTTAACAAAACTAAGAAAAAAAACCCAAAACCCCCCAAACACACAAAGACTCGGTTATTTGTTTAATAATCTGAGGTTGGAAAAAGATTTGATCTTAACAAGATGGTCCCTGTAATGAATTACAAGACTGCCTTCACTCTTGATTTACTTCTTGCATGCAATACCCTAATGAAAATACCATTGCAAGGAGTGCTCAGAAATGCTGCACTCGCTGTGCAACGACACACTCCACACCCCAACACCGACTCCAGCCAAGGTGAAGAGAAAAAATGAAACTGCTTTGGAATAACTGTCCGGGACTATGCCAGCGGGGGAGAAAGCCACAGTGTTGCTAAGGGAATTTGTCTGATTTTGCTCATTTCTCCTCTCTGCTGAAGTCCCTGTTGCCTACAGGGATGGCTCCAAACCGAACACACTTTTGGAAATCTGTCCCAAGCCTTGAATTCCACCTCCCACCTAAATCCCAAACACACAGCCCTGCTTTGGATTCACAGCATGACTCAATATTTTGCTCACTTTATTACTTAAAGCAGAGAAACCACAACCAGAACCTTTAACTATTTTTCTTGCCCGAATCTGAATTTTTAGTCCATTCCTGTCCAATTTTTCGATTTCAGAATCTGATCGACAAGTTTTCAGAGAGGAAAACTAAGATTCCCTCACTGCTGAGCACAGCTCAGGCCATAGGTGCCTGAGTCTCAGATACCAGGATCTCAGAAAGCTGCAAAAAACCTGTGCAGTCCCCGATTCTCTTGGCTGAGACCCCCTCTAGTGGCTACTGAACATGTGCATATTCACAGCCCAGTGCTTCAACCCCAGCACTGGAGTTTGCACCACAGACCAAACCCGTTCTTGTTTCATGCAACCACCTGAGAGAATTGCTCAAAAGTCTCCTGTCTCTACCCTCCTGCCTACGCCCTTGGTTTCTGTGCAGGAGCCAGAGCCTGCTGGGGGAAGAAAGCACAAGGTGACATGCTTTCATGAGTTTTAGGTAACATTTACTACTTCCAGCATGTTCCGTTCCCAAAGTGATGTTTAAAATGTATCAGCCAACCCCACTGTTCCTACTTGCAAAGAGCACCTGGTGAAATGTTTATCCTGACACGGTCTCCAAACTGTCATAATTGACTGCCTGTAGGACAGTGCCCCATAAGAGGGTGTTCCTGGTAGGAGTAACATCAGGTTAGGCAGACCTTAATGCCAGCATTTCTCAGCGTCTCCAGAGTGGGCCTGACGTCCGTCTGTAGCTGATCCTCCACGCCAGTGAGACACAGCAGCTCCATCTCCATTTCCAGGCTCTCGATGACTGTGGCCACCTTCAGGGAGCGGTCGTGCACGCTCAGCTTTGCCTGGACATAGCGTGCCTGAGGACAGAGCAGACACAGCCACGGTCACACACAGCCAGCCTGCAGTTTTTGTGAAATATAGGGTTAACCAGCCCCCCTCGCACCACAGGTCTAACCATGGCTTCTACAGGTAGCACATCTAGAAACAGGGCAATAGAGAATCCTAAGCATTCCCACTGTCTCATCTCTGCATATAACTGAACAGTTCTTCTTCATGTTTTGCCTGCCTGGGGTAAGTAAATGAATGCTGTGTGTAGCAACCCATCTCACAAACCACAGGCCTGAAGCCTGTGTTTCCATGAAGCCAGACGGGGTTATATTCCGGTTGTTTGTAGTTTTCCTGGATGTCAAAACGCAACAAGGAAAATCAAAAGCCAACACATCTCCCCACACAAACACTACTTGTCTAACAAATGATGAATATTTGCACAATTTATAACCACAAAAGATTGTAAGGCAGGATTCAGGAACTGTTTTGGAGGGTTCTGGCTGGTATCCAGTTTCATACATATCACTTAAAAAGCCACTTCAATTAAAAGAACAGCAAGACATTGAAGAATGACAATTCTAGCAGAAGGAATAGGGAGATGAGAGGCAGCTTTATCACTAGAGGTCTGTGAGAATCACTTCAGTGACTGTTTGTTTAAAAACAAAGGAAAAAGAAAACAAATAAAAACTTACTTCAAAGTCTTGATACTGTTCTTCCGTCAGAGACTTCTTGGCTACGACAAGAACCCTCAGGCCTTCCCGAGCCATGTTACCACACTGGAAAGAAGTATCACGTTGTAAACCATAAACTGCATCTCAAGTAAGATGATTTATTCACAGCATTGCAGAGATGGTAATGTAAGATAGCAGGTTAGGAAAATAACCATCCAGTTTGAGCAACCCCAGTGAGTCTGTAACATCTGATGAAGTGCATGATAAACCCGAGAGGAATAAAGGAGATCTGCAATAGTTTGTAATCTATCCCAGTGATCAGAAGAAAAAATGTCCTCTCTGCTGTACCAGTGTGACAAAACCAACCCCATTGATTGCATTTGCTGTCTTTAAGTAAAAGGACACAAGCCTTTGATTTGTAGACTTCACATATTTGGCCAAAAATTCTTTAAAATAAGACCAAGGTATTATTATTTCTTTGAACACCAGGGTTTGGGGGTGGGGAGAATCAGTAACTGAAGCTACTGCTATGAAATCTGTGCCAACACAACTACTAACCTGACAAACATACCCCAGTACAAAGCTGCCAAATGTAGTTTTGAAATTAGACCTTTCAGTCTAAAATAAATGCAAACACAGGATCAAGCCCAGGACAAATTTGGTAATCTTGAGTGGCAATCAGTTTTGAGCAAAATCCATTTCGTTTACAGGACTTACTCTGCACTAAATATCTTGAACTTGCCACCTGACTCCCTTGTTACTGCTTATATAAATGGCTGAAGGCTAATTCAATGAATTGCAAAGATCAGTGACCTCTGGCTCGCAGATGTTTTAGGAGTTATGTCCACTCTGCCATATAGTCATGTATTGTCCTGGAAGGAGAAAAGCACGAGAAACCCTCCTTACGTAGGAGGTACGGCCCCATACCTCCTCTTCCAGCCAGTCGTTGTACTGCACAATCCCAGCCATCACCACATCAGCCCCCTTCATGTAGAAGGTGATCTCTCCTGTTGATTCATCCTGCAGATAAAAAACAGAAGAGTGTAAGTTGGGCCAATATCAGCATATTTGGAGTGGCCTCAGCAAGTTAAGTGATGAGTTTTCGGCACAACAGTCAGAAAAATGCACTGGGTCAGGCTGAAGGTCCATCTGGCTCAGCATCTCATCTCAGGGCCAAAAGGGGCTGTCTGCTCAATCACAGCTCAGTTACTCACAGCCAAAATAACGCTTTAGACAAGGATGATCAGCTTTTTAATCAGCAACATGGCATCTCCATGCAGACACCTCTCAATCCTGACTGCATGTGCCTTTGGAATAACCTCTAGCCCTCACTCTTGAAATTTATTTCATACTTACTTGAAACAATAAAACAGACGCACGAAGCTTAACAGTAAAATTACTCTAATTTACCCCCTCTGTTACATTATATGGCATAAGCATAATTAAAGTTTATGCTTGCCGCAGAAAGGTTAGATTGCTGCCTGCCTTATCTGATACAAGTAATTTGTAGGCTGCATATTTACATTACCACAAATTAAAAAATCCTTTCTAACCAGGCAGATACCTAAGGAGGTCACAGCTATTAGTATTACAAGCTAATGGAAACGCTGGCAATTTCCTCAAAGGAGACAAAACAATGAGTAAGGAACAAACTGCTCTGTAAACCAAGATAGCCACCAGGGATAGGAAGAAAATAAACTTAACACGCAAAACCAAAAAGCCCAGGAAGGTCAGCTATGAATGAAGGGTAAAAGCACTTTAGGAAAAGAAATGAGAGAAAAGTACAGTGGACCCTTTTTCATTTTCAAACTATTTAATACATGTGTCAACCTGTTCTGCAGTTACAGAAACTAGTGGTGAAGGTTCTCCCACATGAAGAGTTGGAGTCGGCAGGTAAAAGCCTGATGTCTCATAGCACTAGTGAAACAGAATTTAATTCCACAGTGGAAAAAAAAGCAGCAACTGACGTGAATAATAAAAATGCAAATAAGATAAAGAAGCATTTTTGCTAGGGAAATGAAGAGGTAGACAAGGATAATGAAGGTGCTTTACTGAGCATTTTTGCCAAGCTTACAAAGATCTTCACAAGGAAGATTCTTATAATTAAGCTTAAGCACAGTTTTCAATGTCCTGAAATGCGCAGCCTTCATATACTGATACCCACACATCCCACATCCCCAGAGCAAAATGGGTGTCGCTCTACCAAAACAATTAGAATCTGTTTAAGTAAAACACAACGTTTTTGGCAGTAGCCAAAGGTAAAGGTTTATCTATTAAATTATTTGATTAAAAAGTGTCTAGCAACATCTCTGTAGGAAACTGAATAAAGACTCCACTTCCCGTGCTGCAGAACTGGCTTAAGATAGTTTAGATATTTTGTCCAATATAAATACTGTATCAGCTATCTCCTTGCATTAGTCATTTCCTCTCACCGAGTTCAATAGGAGGTTAGTGCGTTCTCATATTATGGTAAGATCACACTATAAATCTACACAGAGATTTGCCAGTTATATTGTTTTGAAGAGGCATCTTTTTCCACCGTGGTCTGACTCTGGCCACGGTTCAAAGGCTTCTTTCAATTCCAGATATGACAATAGCACTATCTTTGCTTTACAACAAAGATCATTCCACACGGGTAAGGGGAAAAAAATGCAAAGAAAAAGAAGAATGGAAAATATTGTGGTTAAACAAACAGGCCTTCTTTCAAGAAGATGATTAAGTAAACAGTACAGTGGAGAGTGGCTGCTTTGGTAGAACAAGACTTCTTAGAACTACAATAATCAACTACAGAAATGACAGTTGATCACAAGTAAACAAGCAGATATTGCAAAAAATACCCTAAACATCTGCTACTTGTTTTCAATATTAACTACTACTTTATTTACTACAAGTTACGTGTTGAAGGAGATCTCTTTATAGGAGCCAGAGCAGACAGGGCCAGCAGGGCAGATGGGTGTCTCTGCAAAGGACTTCAGTAACAGCTTTATTGGGCTGGATGCATGAATCACTTGCTGAAACTCTATACCCAGATTGTACAGGAAGCCTGGCAAGAGGATCGCAAAGCAGCTCCCGCTAGCCTGAAAAATGGCACGTTATAGGAATGGGCAATATCTGTATAGTTGAGCAGAAAATATTACCATTTGAATTCTACTCACTGCAATCCTGAGTACAGGCAGCTCCCGCTAGCCTAAAAAATGGCACGTTACAGGAATGGGCAATATCTGTACAGTTGAGCAGAAAATATTACCATTTGAATTCAAGCAGCTCCCGCTAGCCTGAAAAATGGCACGTTATAGGAATGGGCAATATCTGTATAGTTGAGCAGAAAATATTACCATTTGAATTCTACTCACTGCAATCCTGAGTACAGTTTCATTCTGCAGCTTCTACCTCCCTTCCCCAGCTGCTCACTGTGTCTGTTGTCTTCTGGATACTTCACACTACTTTCCCTTATTTCTGTTTTTCAAATAAGCAGGAGTTTTAGAAGATATAGTGAAAAAGTAAAGACCTTGCAAGTTGTGAATCAAAACTAAACAGAGTGCCTATGTGTGCATACATGTTTGTTTAATGAATGAAAATATTACTTGAAAACTACCTATTTATGAACTCTTTTTTCTTTCTTTTTTTTTTTTTAAATAAACTTTTTTCTTTTTTTTTTAAATGAAAACCCTGCTTGAAGATATTATTTTGGAGTATACAGGAACATGGCAAACTAATACCCAGGGAGCCAGCATCTGCTACTCAAAACCTACTTCTGCATAGGCTATACAGGGAGCTGATTTTAGTGGCTTAGCAGCAGCTCAATTGCTGCAAAATAAAGACACTCAATTAACAGGCACAACAGAGAGGGGAAAATGCTTCTATCAACAATATTCATCATCAGGGTCTGGGGCTGATGTTGCTCCCGCTGACCACAGGTGGGAGTTTTGCTGGTTTTGGCAGCAACAATATTCTAAATACACAAATGCAAAACAGGAATCTTCTTCCTGAAGGAGGAGAATACAGATGATAGATAATTTAAAAGGAACAAGATTCCAATAAAAGAGGACTCCTTTCCACTTAGATGATAAAGTGTCCGGTCATCCACTTCTCTGCTGAGCACATAAACACAGTTTAATGAAGTGTACCCTGGCTTCGATGGTTAGCCCACTTCTTACACCTTTGATAAAACACCACCTCATCAAAAGTTTGCACTTACAGTAAGCAATGGGGAGGGAGATTGTTTAATCTTCCCCTCCCTCCGTTATTGCTAGCATTTTTGTTTTAGGTCTTGAAAAGGTAGCCTGAAATCTCCACATCATTTTTTTGCTATAAAAATAATTAATCTGAAGAATTTACACTTGCTGTATCTAAACAGATAGGCACTACACTTGCTGCAGCTGTCCTACGCAGCACGAGAGGTTCGTGGGAACACTGATGACTGTGTACTTTCAAATGCATCCAGTCGGATCTCTAGATTCACAGATTTAACACGCTGATTACTTTGTACCAGCTCAGCCTATCAGCCCACTTCAACTAACATTCCTGCCCTTGGGCATGTTTTAATATTCCAAAGCCTGAACGACTTGAAATACAAATTTCTCCCCCCTACACCGTACTGTGGTGTGTGATCCAGAACTTAAAAGCAGTTCCTTGAGGAACAGGAGATCCAGATCCAAAATACTCAGGTGTGATAATGCAAATACAGTCATTTGCATGAGCTTTAACAATTTTCAATCTGTCATGGGTTTGTGAAAATAATTATATGCACATACTGCAGTTCCATCTTTATATCACCAAATTCCTTGGTAATAGGAAAACTGAAACTCTTGTAATACTTGTTGTTGAATACAACTACCGAGTTGTTCCATTTTACACCACCCCTTCATGGTGCTGTTTTTGACAGGAACTAACTGTGCTCTTCCAGGGGTCCAGAGAAACTGAGATTTGTGATGCTACCAAATGCCAGCCAATAAAGTAGACCAAATTAATCTGCTATCGAAGAGGCTCTAGATGACTAGGGACTAGATCAGACTAGATGACCTTTGGAGGTCCCTTCCAGCCTGGGCAATTCTATGATTCTATGATTCTGTGTAATTTAAAATTCAAGCCACAGAAAGTATTTTCACACCCAGATACCAGGTATTTCCAGACATCTCAGAATGAATACACAGCAACTCAGTTTTACCACTAAGTACAAGGAAGGGAGGGAAGAAAAAAAATTTATCTTACCCATTCTCCCTACCCTAAATAACAAAACTGCAGATCCCATGAAATGATATAACGAATCATACCTTGCCCTGGATTATAGGTTTCATATTCATGTTTTAGATTCCTGGTACCAATTATCTGTCTGTACTCTCAGTAAAAAATAAGAAGGCTGTTATAATTACCTACAAAAGAAATATTCAAACTGCTTCACCTTGTTTGTTTTGCAGGCAAATGGAAGTGCCTTGCCATAGCTGGGTTTGTTTATCTTACTAACATTGATTCTCTGGCGCTATCTTGACAACTAATGATGATAATGCTAACAACTGATCTCAACTGTTTGACACCCACACTTTCTTCTTCTTTCTTTTTAAGGTAATTTTTTCTGAGAGTCTGACCTTATATTGAATTTGTATATAGAACCACAAAGTTCTGTATGTCCAGTTTCAGCTGGGCACGTATTTAGCATGTGCAGTGCCTGCTGCTGATGATAAAGGTACTTGCACAAATGCACCTTTTAGCTTAACTTTAACTATTTTCAAACCCTGTTCATGACACCATGTTCTCAGCACGGCTGCGGGCTCTGTTAAACAGCTCAAAAAAGGAAAATCTCCACAGTTCCTGCAGCTGTAAGCGCCTCCTCCTGTGGTGCTGTACTTCTATGGTCTCAGAGAGGTATTGCACTTCCACAACACATTTAACAGTACCTTAGTTATTTGTGGCATTGGTCCAGGATCTCCTCCTTCCTTCCCACTTGCTGTGATCTCCATCACCCCCTGTTGTACCACCACAACTGCTTTGGAGATGCAATGTAAGCCGGACCTGTGAACCTGCTTGGGTTCCTGCTCCTGGCTGACCCCCAGGGGGAAAAGCACTTGAGACCTGGGTTGACTCACTGCCCCAGTCCTCTGTATAACACCCCCTCAGCTCTGCCAGCATGACCACAGCATGGACACGACAGGGAGGGCAGGAGCTTTTGGATGGACAAAAAGACAACCCCAAGGACACAGAGTGAGGCTTCAAAGTCAGCTCAAGCTTCCCTGAGACGCCGCTAGTGCCTGCTCCCCTGGAGAGCAGCCCTGCCCTTACCAGGCTCCTCTTCCTCTTCGCTGTGTGAGTCACTGTGGGAGGGGACACAGAACTTGGGTCCCAGGGGACAGGGTAACTGTGATTTTTAATTTTGCTGGCTTCAAAATTCCCTGAAACAACTGCCTTACCTGAGAGGTGAAGTCGGTGGCAGTGCTGGCTGAGGGACTGGCCGCACACCCGTCCCCAGCCTGACATTGTGCCCGGCAGTGTGTCCTTCAGGAACCAGTGTGTGCAGAGAGGGGAGCTGTATGGCTGAAACCCACCCATGTACATGACAAATTACAAATGTGAGAGGGAAGGAGCAGCCAGAGGAAGCTGGAAGCTTAGGCTCCTTGTTACTTTGAACAACGGACCAAAAATCAAGAAACTAAAGATGTCTTGGGAGACTAGAGCACTTACCACCAAATACGGCCAAGGAAAAGGACATTTCACGAAACAAACCCAGCAATGAGGTGCTATTAGCTCATAAGAGAGAACCAGCTCACAGCTTGAGGTAGGAGAGACTGCACAACTCAGCCAGGAAGAACAGCACAGCTGAGAGCAAACGTTTTATATGCTTCACGTTGTGTTAGGAGGAGATACACAAAGACGCAAGAGCTTACCCGAAGCCACTTACCCGAACAATTATCCCCATGCGCTTGCTCTCGTAAGTGAAGGGGAAGATCTGGAGGATGGTGAAGTTCAGGATGTGGCCACCCGGTGTCCTCAGCTGCACGGAGGACTGGTCTCTGCCCACCAGCGTTAAACCCACGCTCTCGGTCCACTGCACCAGGGCCACCTGAGAGGAGAAGGCCATGGTGAGGGCGGCCACCCATGCCATACCTCCCCTGAGGGGACAGCGGGTGGGGGCTCAAAGTTCATTAGTCATTAATGGTGCTATAGAGTGAGTCTGTTCATACAGGCAGGAGCTCCTATATAGACAGCTCGTTCCAGTTGGCTCTGCCTGAAGTTAGAAGCTTACTAACAGTATTTTTGGGGCTTGGGCAGCCCCAAATCAGAATCGGAGCTCCTATCCGATTCAGTTGCCCGGATGTCCTAGACTCTCAAGAGGAGGTGGTCAGCTCCCTGCCTTTGACTGCCGTGTCCTGAAGGACAACCCTTCAGCAAGGGCAGGCACAAATACCCTCCACCCAGGCCTGGGGTGCCCAAACCTCTGCTTGGGCACTCCTTACAAACACTGACTTTTTGAATGTGCTATTTCCCAGCTTGCGGTTTATGAAATCAAGAATTCAAAACGATGCATTCACCCCAGATTTGCAGTATCAAAGCCAGAAACACTAATGCAGAGCACATTAAAAATTAATATTTAAAAAGCAAACCAACAAAATGAGCTTTGTGTTATACTCTGTGCGCTAGTAACAATTCATCAACAACTTTCAGCCTCTGTACTGATCAGCAAGACAGCTGAAGGCTGGCTCACAGACATAATTAGCAGAGAATTCTACTCCCCCAAAATTAAAACGTACAAAAAAAAAAAAAAACCCAAAACAAACCCCAGATTTTTCAAGGCACACAGCAGAACTCATTTAATTGAACTTACGTAGGTGTCATTTTGATTGCAGCTTCTAGTATTTAAGGACCTACAACACTGAATTCTTTACAAGCTTTCACTAGATTACAACCAGAGTCATGACAGAAGACCAAAGCCTTTATTTCACTTGCCTGACGAGCCCCCCCGGAACCCCTATTTCAGCTGACACATCCATCTAAAACTGAGCCTGCTGCGATACGGGGCTTTAACTCTAGAAGCTGTCTTGGCAGTAACGGATGGGAGCAGCAGCTGACATGAGCCCATATATCACTAGCCTCCAGAAAGGATCAAGGGATACTTTCTCCAAACAGACACAAAATACTGTATTTTACAGTGACATTCTCAAAGGCACGAGAGTGCTGGGCACATGGTTGCTGCTGTCTTGAAGGTTAATTACCCCCTGTGCCTTTCAGGTTCTGCCTTTACTGCCTTAAGTGACCACAAATATCTTATACAAAAATGGAATTTATTTTGGGAAATCACATGCATGAGATAGAGATAAAAATGGAACCTATAAATACTTGTATTGAGTCAAGACTTTACTAGATGAATTGATACAATTGGGTCTAATTGAAGAATCTTTTATTAACTCAGCTCCCTTTCATCCACAATTAGCCTTAAGAGAAAACGTAAAATAAACTTTTCCTTTCATAAAGTAGTCTTAAATTGCCAGATAAAAAAATATTTAGTTGAGTTGGCTTTGCCTTGAAAGACCTTTAAATCAATTTGAATCAATATTTGTTTTAATATTAGCAAATTTTTGCAGGCTTATTCACAAAGATTACAACAAATCTAAGGCTCTTTCAAGCTTATCTTTTTCAAAAGTTTCTTCAAGCCATCCTTAGTGCATTAAAGTGTGCAGTTAGATAATCCTCCTAACAAGTCTCCCAGAGCAAAGATGGAGCGTGGGTTTCTAATACTCTGGTTAATAAATAATTATTGAGAATTTTTCACAGCAGGATGTTACGTGATGTTCAGTGTGTGCTGCCCTGGCTGTTGATTTGTCCGTGTTGGCAAGCTGCAAATGCTTGGAGATACAAATCTCTGCTCTCAGCTCAGCCTGTTAAAGCATCTCCTTTGCGACTTTCTTTCACAGACACCTCCTCCCTCCTTCCCTGGCAGTGCCTCATTAAAATCCTATGTCAGGAAGCATTTAAACCTCCTGAAAGAAAAGCCCTGTGCAGAGGAACAAATGAATGAGCAGCACGTCAAGAGGTGCTACGTCGTGCACATGACGTGCCTCACACTAACCGCACCGCTCTGTGCAAGGCCAGTCATTTTGGCTGGCTCTGAGACCACAAAAATGTATGTCAATGGAAGAGGAAGAATAATGAAAGAAATTCCCCCTTTACCATGCTGCTTCCGAGCAGGCGTGGGTCCCGTCAGCCCTTAATGGCCCTCCAGGTGGACCGCATTCAGCACCGGAGGGGAAGTGGGGCTGACCCCTTTGAACATGCCACTTTCCAGCCTCTATAGTACTTAATGAATAATTACCGAGAGGGAAAGTGATATAATTTTGAAGTGTTCCTATCAGATGTACTAAAAGCATTGAAATTACCGTCTCCATTCAACAGGCAACACAATGGTCCTGGCCCCTGGGAAGTGCCGCGGCACCAGGTGGACAACACAAAGCACTGATGGCTCCTCGGCAGGGTCTGGGCACCCTGGGACGGGGAGCATGTTCCCAGCTGGGTGCTAGATGGAAGAGGTTTACTCTGCACAACACAAACAGCAACTGGAGAGCTCTCATTCACAGCGAAAAGATGACATTCGAGATGCAAAATCATATTTACAACTTAAATCGAGGAGATATAAACAGGCTCGAAACGCCTCACACACCTTCAAGGGAGCCCATGCTCAGTGATGAGGAGAAATCAGTAAAGTCCCTGACCGCACTCCAGGAGTTTGTGGCTCCATCCAGGCCACATCAGACACAGAACTGAGCGTTACAAAGCAGAGCAGCTACAGCAGCTCAGCACACTATCCCCCAAACTTTGCTCTTTCCGACAATTAAATTACCCAAGCCACCACTGAAGTGGATATTGACTAATAAATTTCATTCTAAAGAGACAAATTGATCCTTCTGTGCCGTGAGTTGCTCTACAAACGTCCCATTTAGGGTTGCCTAGGCAGACAGACAACAGGCAGAAACCAATTGATCGGTGCACCCTTTCATGTCCTGGCAGCTGCGGTGGGTTGTCAGGGTTAAAGACTGTTTGCCCAGGAATCCCAGGCACTCTTATCTCTGATCAGATTATATCTATTTCATTTCCCCTGTTAGTTACTGTATGGCTACAACTGACACGCTTGCAGAGCCCCAAGGCTGTAACCGATATCTGAATAAAGATACTTCAAGACTTCTAAATGGCAGCATGCACAGGAAACAAATTTAGGAAATCCTGCTTTCTGTTACAGGAAATGAATCCTATGCCAACTGGTAGAAATTACCCTTGCTGTTAAAGTAAAGAGAATACAAGTTTTTGTACTCATTTCATAAACTGACCTTCCCTGCCATGGCAATATTTTATTGATATAGGATTTCAAAGGCTGGCTTTAACAGGAGTCCAAAGCCATTCCCCTACAGGGAATGTTATTTAACAGCATCACTCCTTTCTCAAGGACTCGGCTTGTGCTGATCCTGCGTTTTGTACCATCTAGTATGACATACACAGAGCATGTCTAAACAATATTTGTATATCTAAGACCTACAGACAAGATTTCCTCAGCGCAGCAAAGCATATCTGATTTCTGAACCCGCTGTAATTCTCTACTTAAGACACTACAAGAAAGGAAAAAAGAATTTAAACAATAATCTTGGAAGGATTAGTTATCATGCCATAGTAAAACAAACAAACAATAATCCCTTGGGTATTTGAGACAAATTGCTGCATAAATATTTTAAAGACAGAACGGTATAAAGCAAAAAAGGAAAAGAAAAATCACTGACTTCACTATATACCACAGTATATATGTAAATAAACAGAGGATCTGTGCAAAAATAGCCTGTAAATGCTTTAGGAAAAAAAACCTTAAATGCAGATCACAAAAATTCCCATCTGGAAATAATTCAGAACTTGTTTCAATCCAAAGGCAGTTGATTTCTGTAAGCTGTCTTTACAGGGAATGGCAACACATCAGAGGAGAAAAGCAGGTAAGCAAAACACCAACCCAGATTATGTGGTGGGAGAGGACACACGCACACACTGAGCACCGGCTCCAGAGCCAGGGAGGAGTAAGGGCTTGTTGTCACTGTAGGCACATCAATGGGAGAGGAGGGGGGAAAAGTAAAGATGCGACTTTTGTATGAATATTTTACATGAAATAAATGAATTGCCTACACTACAGGGTATATTTTGAATGTACGTGAAATGTGGAAAATAACTCTGTGCATCTGTCTTTCATTAATATATCCAACAATTATAAAATCCTCACATAGCTGGGCTAATGAATAAATTTGTTTCTATGCAAAGAATTTCTCATCTCTAACAATGAGGAAAGCCAGATTCTCTTTTGATGTCAAAGGTGAAAAGGTTATTATCAGAGGCAAATCTGTTTTATTTGGGGCAATAAATGGAAAAACGCTTTGAATGTAGTCAAATGGGTGATATGATCTCACAGTGTCAGTAGGATTCTTACAGGAAGTTTCAAACTTCAGTCTCTTTCAATGGCATGGAGCAAGTGCAATTGTACAAACTAACAGGAAGTAAATTGTTTTACCTTGGTTGCACTAAAGGTGATGTATCCAAGATGCATAACCAATACGTGAAACCATATTTTATTCCTCCTGTCTCCATCACAGAAGGAAACAGCACGCTAATTAGACTTTCCAAATTTTGCAGAGGGTGGCAAAGAGCACTTCAATCTTAAATCCTGTATTGAACCTGATCTCTCAAGTGTTCAGTAGAAGTCTCCAGCGAGCCTCTGGAGAGCTGAAACGTTTCTCTCTGCTGTACCACCCCATATAGCCCTGGCAGGACACAGCTTTGCTCTGAAACAAACTCTTGTGCACTTTACTCCTCTGCAGAATTAACTGGGGCTGTGGGTCTGTCCCGTCTGCATGGGGACGGATGTGTCCCAGGTTAGCAGGGCTACCCAGCGTGATTTACAACTTGTCACTTGGTCTGCAAGTTCAAACGCCCTGGAGATCAGGGACAAACTGATCTGTGAAAGCCCACTAGCCACCTCCCACAAGTCATCCCACTCCAAAAGAAGATAAGATTGCCTATAATTTACCAAATGTGGTGAAAGGGACTCGTGGTGTTGAACTGCAAAATATACACTGGATAAAAGGTGCAGAAACATGAGCAAAACTCTGAGATGCAGAGGCTGATGTAACAGCCAGATACTAGTTGCTATGTAGCTCTGTAGCTTCAGGCAGAGAGGCAGATTTGGCTGAAGTATATCAGCTGAGAGGGCACCTGTGGTCTATTCATGGGTTATCAGTGCAAGAAATGTATTAAAATATTATCCCTTCACTACACTGGAGTACTTTCACCAAACAATATTTTTTTTTCAGCAACAAGCTAGGTCATATTTATGTTTTTATATACCCAAATGGATACTGACCTCATCTGGACTGGAGGCCTGGTACACCCTGCAGGAATCCTCGTAGTGTCTCTCGGCTTCAGCCTGGTCTGTCACCCCGTTGGACTCGTACACCGGCGTCACATTGTGGCACAGCGCGATGGCCTTCACCGCCTCGTGCACTCGGCTGCTCATGGTTTTACGCACTTTGGTGGCTAATGTAAGGCCCTTCACAGCAGGTGGGTCCTGAGATTGCTTATAAAAAAAGGAAATAGAATAAAGTCTTATTGCAGGGGGGGAAAAAAAAAATAATCAACTTTTTACTTCACTGAAGACCACATATGTAGCAGTTACGCAGACTCTTGTGTCCCCAGGAGTGAGACGCACTCTACATACACCTTAACTCAGACCATACTCAAGTGTAATCAATTTCTTTATCATTGTTACTGGTGGAGTAGAATGCCCCAAAAGATTTACCAAAGTTTTTCAACAGTACACTGAGAAAAAGAGTCTTTGTGGCAGATCCATCAAACACGGACCGGTAAAAGACCAAAGTCGGAAGACTCAGTGAAACCACTTTTTGCTCCACTAAAGACCAGTGGCTTTGAAAACTGAGAGTCAACTGGGCTTCACGCACAAAAGAATATAATTGCTGAAAACAGAAAACAGATGACTCGTACGGACCTAGAAAATCTTAATTACATTCATTTAATTTTTAATACTATTTTTAGTATCAGAATGGGAGTCTTCAGATAATTGCACAATTACTAAATTATCCTGGTTGAAGAAGGGACACACAGTGATCTAGTTTCCTGCTCTGTTAACCTTTAGTGTCAAGAGGACAAAAGTTTCACTTCCAGGTCAAAGGCCACAACATGGTAAAAATAAGAGCAAAGAATAAGAACTACAGTTCAAAATGAATCATTGCCAGCAAATGCTTCTCATTATAAGGAATCTCACTTGTTAATGATAAACGTTTTATGAGACGTATCCTTCACCAGTGTAATTCCACATGCTAATTTCCACACTCTAGTGATTAGGACACGTAAGACCTTCAAATTTAATATTGCTGCTCATCAGCGCTGTTGCAACTGACTTTAACCAAATTAAACACCAGCAAACCCCAGCTGAAGTGCATTTAGATTGACATATAGCACTAGTCACATACTGGACTAGTCAGTCACCAAAAGGTTCTTGAAAAATACTGAATACTTTGGCAAATAATTAACTAGTAGTCAAGCTTTTTCTGGAGATTGAATACAAAATTAGCGCAGATAGATATGAAGTCTATTTTTTGGTTACTTTTTTTTTTTTTTTTAAAGTACAGTTCATTCATTTAAGGGTCTCAACACCAAGAGAAGAAACAGATGCTAAGAAGGCTGTGAAAGCAGAGGAGGGAAAGAGAGAGATAGCTAGAGAAGTTATAGGTTACTTAAGACACATGCCAGTGAAAAAGATAATTACTCAGAATACCATGTATTTACCAACTATCATATGCTTAGTTATAAGCACATTGTAGTCTGCCCAGGGAAAAGCTATGCCACCGAACAGATCACTGAGGCCAAGGCAACCTACTGTGTGTCTTTGCCACCATGAACAAAACCCCAAAATAAAAATCCTATTTACGGCACATAGTGCCTTTTTCCAGACAAGAACGCTGGCTTCATGTTTCACTTTGTGGGGGGTATAGAAAGAGCACTTCAATCTAAAAATCTCTTCACCAAAGCAAAAAACAATGTGACATGAAAAAACTCAGCTCACTGCATTGGGTGTGCATGCTCAAAGAAAAGCACAGGCACTTCGAAAATGACTTTTCTTTTTCAACCATCAGCCCTAAATCAGCAACACTGGTACACTGATCTCTGTTACTGCTTACTGAGTACCGATGGCTCCTCTTCCTTTTTTATTGCCCCAGTAGACACCATTTCAAACAGCAACTTAATCCATTAAATATTACCCAGAGCCAATTTTTCAACAAAGCAGGCGATGTGGTTGCTGCAAATTGTGACTATCTAAATAAAAGTATGCTATTTTACCATCAGACCTCAGCAGCAAGACACATGCACGTGAACACACTTACACGTACACATCCGTGCACGTGCTGTGGCAGTTAAAGACTGGTAGATGTGGAAAAATCTACTAATGTAATAAAAAATCATTATAATATATAAACATTAAGCATTCACTAACCTTCAGAGTTTGCCAAAAAGTAAAAAGGCAGATTCTTGCCATACTAATTCACCATTAGCCCAGTGACCCAGAAAACTGTTTTGTGAACAAAGAGTTAAGTAACACAATTCAATTCTACCTGTGTGTATATACTGAATATGTGGCTCTGCACTTCATCCATGGAGTCCAGGCCGTAAGCCACCGTTCCCAGGTGAAGTCGCTTGAAGACCATCTCGTTCTGCGTAAGAGTTCCTGTAAGAGAGGCAGCACCAGACATGGAGTGGGCACCAACACGCCTATTGGCCACCACACACACCTCTTGTCCTTGCTGTACCCCAAATCCAAGACAAACTAGACCAGAAGCTGAAATAGTCACTACACTAAGCCCAGGTAAACAAAAAATGTCAATATGACAAGCCTGACAGCTGATTGTCCCAGGAAGCAGTGGTGCACGTTACCATGCCAGTAAATAAGAACGAGATTATTCACCCCAAAGTCAACGATAACAAGAGCTGCAGGCAGGATTCTCGTTCTGTTGGAACCGAAGAAAACTTTTGGAAACAACTTCAATGGGACCAGGATTTCATGTCAAGTAAGATTTTCATTACAGCTTAGGTCTTCTGAATTCAAGCTCAACTTTGAAAGTGTAAGAACAGCAGCAGACAGACCGATGGTATGTTTCCACCTAAACGTGTAATCTATCTTCATCTGTCTTTGAAAACTAACTCTAAAAAGTTGCTTTTAATTTTATTTTTACCCTCAGCTTTTGGTTTAATAGCACACTTTTTTCTTTGAAGCACCATAATATTCATATCTTATTTTACTTATAATACATTCTGAACAGAAAAATATATTTTTTTTTCCAAAAATGGATTATATCATATTGTCCAAAGTGACAGGAAATGCATATTTCTTCCAGTCCAAAGAAATCATACATTATACTCTCTGGCTGGCGAAAAACGTAACAAAATCCAAACAACAACATATCATGACTCAAAACAATATTTTCTACATAAATACCTGTTTTATCTGTAAGCAAATAGGATATCCTCCCCAGCTGCTCAGGAATAGTGCTAGACCGAACCACAGTCCCAGGAATTTTGGAATCTCTGCGGATCACCCAGCTGTAGACAATTTTTCCCATGTCCAGATTCACACGTAAACTATGCAGGAGGAAGGGAATAAAAAGTTAAACTTTGGAAAAAATAATTGTGAACAGCCACAGTGCAATGAAGGGCGTGTCTCCCATGCTGAACTTGAGCTGCCAAAGAGGGTGTTTTGGGAGAAGTATATTCAAAGTCAGTGTTCAGGTGGCAAATGGGGAGAAGGACTGCATTGCTGCAGTGGTACTGTAATTCAAAGATAGATGATACAATTATGTTGAGAAGAAGAGATAATTTGAGGGGAAGATGGAGACAGACAAGCAAGGACAGCTTGATTGATACACAGAGAGCAGGTTAAAAACGGAACTGAAATGAATCCCAGACCTACAGCGAAAGTAGCAATCTACTTATTAATATAGTGCAATTAAATATTAAAGTTTCAGTCCCCTCTAAAAGGCAACTGGGTCCTATTCCACTACATGCTGTATAAAGATCTCTCCTTTTCCGTTTTTTGCTCTGCTTTGATAAAAGTAACCAGACAGCCCAAACACTAAGGGGCTTTAAATGATTCATCCACAGTCACCAGAGTCAGTGAACGGGTGAATATGCTACACAAATTCAGCAGTAACAACACAGCACCTCTTATGTTTGAACAGTAATTTGATTTCTATTTCTAGATTTGCCTACTTGTCAAGTGAGGAATAGATAGGAGTTTGTGTGCTTGTTCATTCTAGAAGCATGGAGGAGAATGCAAAGGAACAGTATTTTGCTGGGAAGAATTAGAAATTGCCTTACCTAATGGGAATGATGTTTGAGAACAGAAGGAGAAATCTTATGATCTGAAGATACCAACGGCCAGCGAAGTGCTGAAGGGCCACCATAACAAGCGAGACCACCACAAGAGCCCCAAACAGGATCTTGGTAAGACAGTTCACTTCCAAATCAAAGAGACCAATCTAAAGAAATAAAGACAATTCAAACACACAAGAGAAGATGTTAGCTCAATGTAATATTCACAAGGGGAATGAATTGCCACATCCAAAGAGCCATTCTCCACTCGTCAACTTCTCCTCTTTTAGAAGACTACAAACATTTAAAATTATAAGCAATATTGTTACCAGCTTATTAAATAAGACTTCCATCCTTTGGAAGCTAAACAATGCATGAAGAGGTGTGAGAGGACTCACGCTGCCAAAGCTGCAGACTATACAAACATCCTTGCACCTTGCCTTAGCTTTACTACATTTGAAGAATGCAGCAAAATAAGCTTTCCTATTTTAACAGGGACTACCTCATTACAGCCATAAAAAATAATGGTTTTACCAATCCTAAAAAAAGTGAGAAGACACATGTACAACGTGTACAACAAAAAAATAAGGAGAAATAGGTTCTGCTGTGGCAGCTACCTTAAATCATAGGATGGAAGATATTCCTATGAAGTTGTCCCTAAAGTATGTACACATAGGATTTGGAAGGATTTCCTTTAAAAAAAAAAAACCAATAAATTTCTGCCCCTTTTTATTTATTACAAGACTGCTTCCTTACCATACCTTACTTCTTGGGTTTGAAGTATTCATCACACTGCGTAATTCCCTTCCAGTGTAGAGGACAACGCCCACAACAGTACCTAAACAAAACAGAGCAGGCATCAGCTGAAGAAAAACAACCTCCATTTGTTTTCTAAATAAAAATACTTGTTAGATCCAATGGCTTGACAATTGGAAAGGATTTTTACTAGGTTAATTTCAGAAGCAATAGCAACCAGAAATTAAAAAGCTGGCTCCTGAAATATAAAACCTATGAAGACAAAGACTTTGAACGGGAGACACCCTACAGAAAGTCAGTAAGTCTTCAACCACAGTACCCATATGGTTGGACTTGATGAAGCATCACAGCCTGAATCAATGAAAGCACATGGAAAGAGAAGTCACCTGCTTTGCTCTCTCGACTTTCACTGACCCCATTTTGATGTCAGTTGTCTCTCCCCACTATAAATAAAGGTTGCTAAGGATGGAAGATTTCTTGCTTTTCCTCCTACCATTTAGAGTCCCACTTAGGTGTGGGTAAGTTCACCTTACACCAGATAGTGGTCCCTCACTGTGTGTCAAAATTAAATCAGTGCTCTGGACTACGTTTCTTTATTGGTGAAGGTTGCCACAATCAGAGTAAAACCAATAAATTCCAACAGCTTTCGAAGACAGAATTACCTTACTTTAAAATCTACAATTTACTTCAAGTATTTGCCTAATTGCTCTTCCCACTGAAACGCGAATCATACCAACTCCTACCTTACTGTAACAGATGGAGCTGCTGGGAGCCTACCAGCGTATTTTAATGCTCTGTCCCACAGTTGCTGAAGAGCTGAGAGGAACAAAGTTCTCCCTTTTCTTCTCACAGAAACATAATAGAGTTTAGCACCATAAATTACTGGTTTTCTACAAATTTCTCTTAAAGACTTTGCAAAAAGCCATAAAGAAAAAGCTATCTACTGTCACGAGTTTAAAAGCTACTATTGCCAAAGTCTAATCTTTTAGAGAAAAAAAAAACACTGAAAAAAGCACCACTGCAAATACATTGCTATTTTATACTTTGCTATTCCCCTGCTGCCATGAACAATCAAAGTTTTAACCAGATGCAAGTGAATTATTTTTAAATAAAACTGATTCAAAAGAGGTGGTTTCTAAAAATATGCTGGGAAACATTCCTTTAAAAAAACCAAAAAACAAAACCAACCCAAAAAACAACATATCACTGGAGCCAGATGGCAGGTGGTGGTAAGATCATCACAATTCAAATCAGCAGATGGCACAGCTACTCCAAATCAACCGCAAACAGTCAGAGTCAGACCCATTCCTACTACAGCAGATGGAGAAAGCCACATAGCTCCGCTTCATCTTACAAGCAAAGGCTGCCCCAGTGAGATGGCATCACCACAACTTGACAGCTTTCACTTACAGAAGAAGAAGAAAAATAATATCCCCATTTTCTCAAAACAGAAATAACCTACAACGTGCTATTTATTATTGCCATAGGAGAAACAAACCTGAGTATTATATTGATCATGTCAGTCAAAATGAGGGGGAAAACCTGCCAGGACTAGAAAACAGCTTGAAGGCACACTGGTGCGTATGAAGAGTTCTAGTTTCTAGTTGTTTTATGGCCATTCAAAACAGACTCAACTGCATAAACCATCTGAAATGATGAAAATATTTGCAAATGCTATTCCTGTTAACTGAACTCAAAGATGTCTATCTACAAATAACTTTGTTCATATTCAGAAGGGAGGCCTGGATTCAAACATAAGTTCTTTTGGGCAGAGAGGAGTTCGTCGTGTGCCTCGATACAGACACCAAGACCACCCGAGACTTCTAAACAGCAGTGAAGTAGTGACCAGCTGGAGCAGAGCGTGTGCTGTGCCCTCTTTTGGGAAAAAACATCTGCACCCACGTGTGTACTACACACAGCAGAGGAACAGCTTTTACCCTTAGCAGGCACCAGCCGTGAACACGCTGAGGGCAGGAGAGCATTCCCCTCTGACTTCAGGACTCCTCACTGTAACACACCCCCGTGTTAGGCTCAGCCACAGCAGTGTGAGATCTGCCACAGTGCAAGAGCTGGTACAAATCAAAGCTTCGATACAAGGAGCAAGACAGACTCCCCAGGAAAGCACGCCGCAGGGAGAGGAGCCATACAGGACAGAATCACAAGGAAAATGGCTTTCAATTTCTCCACCTATTTTACTCAAAGGCAGAATGAGCTGAGACTCATGCATTAAGCATCCTGATGAGTTTTTGAAGCTGCCAGGCTGACTACATGTGTCTACACTCAGAGGGGAGCAAGGTAGGTTACCCAACTGCATGGCAATTACTAATCTATAAACATAATTAACTTGCTTAAATTGTATTTGGACAACTACTCTTTTTACAATCCCTTGGTCACAGCACTATGACAACACTGTAATACTTTTCAAAGAAGAGACAGAGCAGGATTAAATAGAAACATACAGGAATAAAATTTATTCACTGTTTTCTGCTTTTAAAAGAGCGCATCTTTTCAATGCTTCAGAAAAAAATCTCTTGAAGTTTATGTTCCTTCCCATCATTATTAATTCCAGGTACTGCACTGTGAAGTCTCTCCATTCAACAACTTTAATTCCAGAACAGAATTTCACTCCCCTCCAGCTACTGCCCTGCAAACCTTGCAAGCGAGCCGGACAGGAGAGGAACAAGGCTTTTACTTTGACAAGCTTCTACAAGAGGGCATTGATTAACCTCAGGCCTTGGGAGCTCATCATATATATAAACCAAAATCTGTCAAAGAATTTATTTTTTTCCTTTTTGAATGCATGTAAGATGAACTCAATGGAAGCACTTACCTGGAAATCTTTCATCTTAGCTTCTGTTACCAGAATCTATTTGACACCATTTCTGTTACAGATTAGGATGTCAATGCCGAGAGCAATTAAGTGCTATTCTGGTCCTAGATGCTAAAGAAGTGCCCAAAGGCCACTCCAATTCTTTCTCATCTAGGAATGTCCAAGAGGCAATTAGATGTCAGCTCAGTTCCCCAGAGGTGTTAGGACAAGTGGGAAACCTCATTCCAACTGCTAATTTCTCCAACTGACAGAGATTATTATTCCATTACAAAAAGACCTTTAAAAATTGTTAACATATTCCCTTAAAAAACAGAAATTACACGTGCCTCCATCTTACCTGATGCAATCACTGTGCTGGCCCACAGAGTGTTTTCTATGCTTAAACTTTCATTCACTGGAGGGTCACTGTCCTCCTACAACGAGATAAAAACAAATTTGTCAGTGGATGATAGTTACACAGAAGTGTTTGTAGAGATGGAGGATTTTCATAAACCCAAGTGAATCTCTGGTTGGGTAAAGATCACAAGCAGTTTGTTGCTGTGGAGCAGAAGGGTTCGGGGGTGTGAGGGGCAGAAATCTATTAAGATACCTCTGCCTGCTGAAGTCCCTCAGGAATCATAAATGAGAAAGGGATTTGTCAGCAGCTCTCCAGGGACTACAGGAAAATACTCCCTCACTTGGCTCATGCAGATTAATAGCATTTCTCCTGCTTCTGTAAGATTTCACTGAGAACCTGTTTGGACTGCTCAGTGATGCCTGGGAAGTTGTCTGATACGCACCAGAGAACAGTTACAAGAAAGCATGATTCCTCTTAGGCACCAAAAGATTAATTCTACATGATTGTACCCTTGCATGAGAAAGTAAATTAATGTCTGTGCAGGTTTTATATAAGAACTGTCTCCCCAAACCACTCAAACTCCTCTGCCATGCCAGCACTATTTAACCAGATTAAACCATGCCACAAAGATAATAGGGAAAACCCTACAATTTTGAACTAAAATACCAGCTGACAACTTTTAGAAAGCTTTAACTGTCTCCTATTTGTTACAAAACCATTTGTCGTCTGAAAGCTCCCCAAGGGAATTAGATGAATCACTCAAAATTTTCATAGTCCCACTGAGAGGGGAAAAAAATCCAATCATTTGCCCCAGGTATGCAATGCATCTTCCCAACAAGTCAAAATATATATTTTTTTTTTAACAGTGATATATCACAGTGGCTCTAAGCTGCTGCCCTCTGAAATAGGGCAGATATAACTGAGTTCACATAGGTTGCATGCAATTGCAGGCAAAAACCCCAACTGACTCAGAATTAAGACTACAACCTCCTGATCTAGCTAAGATCCCGTCTTCTCACAATTAAAGGATTTTAATCCTACAGAATCCATAGTGGTTCAGATTTCCTTCTGAACAGGCACCACAAATACTTAACTACTAGCCTGTCTGAATATTCAGTTCTAATACCTTCAGAGTAAGGTTCTTAATCTTCAACGGCCTATAACATTGTCTCCAAGTCAAAGCTTCAATAACTATGTTTTTGTTTCAGATTTATTTCACGGATTTTACAAAGGAAAAAAAAAAAGAGAAAAAAAAAGGAAGAAGAGACAAGGAATGGCAAGACAGACTTCACTGCTTCTCCTGAAAAACTCTGGCACCCTGGTAGCATTCAGCAGGCTTGCATTGCAAACTCTCCATATATGATTTCAAGCATATGTCGGCAAGACTCACCCTTGTGAAGGTCCCCACGAAGTTATGTATATCAATATTCGGCTCTTCTGCATATACATAGGAGCGGATTTGCAGTAGGTCCTATAAAACAGACATGTTTTGGCAGACAGTTAGACAACCTCGTTTAAATAATGTACAAATGTTTCTGCCAAAATACTTTGAGCAAGAGTTACTTATCAAGTTGAGATAATGACTAAATCATGTTACTTACTGGAGCCCAACTGTCTAAGATAAAATACAATGGGTGTGCCAGCTTCACTGAAGAGTATTTCTTAACCTGATACCTGAGAGATTCTGGGAAGTTACTTAAATGTTGGTGCCCCATAAAAGAAATTCCAGCCTGAATAATCAAGACAGCTGAAGATACTTATTACTTCATAGCAAAGAAGGTTTGGACTAGTCTTCCAAGGCAACCAAGGAACACCCTATCACTCAGTATTTAATTCAAGATGCCATTGTCACTAGGAATAGTTCTGTGATGACAAGAAGATACACCAATTCTGCACAGTGTTTTCACTGCTGACTCCTACACATGCACAAACTAGTGATTCCATGGAGAGAATGCCTTGCTTCAAAGCCTTTATATAAAATAAACTTCTTGCACTTTTTAGAGTTAGAACATAAATAAAGCAGGTATTCTGATCCCTCCCCTCCTTTTTCTTGTTTTATTTAAAAAAAAAAAAAAAACCAAGAAAAACAAAACACAAACTACTTTGTGTTTTGTAGCAGCTAGAGATTTTGGGAAACAACATGCTTGATGGCAGCTATATGCTTGTATCAGATCATACAGTAGAGCTTCCATGGTGACACTGCTCCTTTCATAAAGGTGAGCAATGAGAACGGCCCCTGAAGCCTTTTCATGAAAATACATGAATTGTGTCTCTGCACATACCGCAGTGCAATGGAGCATCTGAGCAGCAGCACCACCAAGGGTACCAAGGGTACCTATCCTGCAACAATATCTATCCTCCAGCAAGTTACTGCAATGGTCTCTGGAGAAGAAAAATAAAATAGGAGCATCCTACCATCAGCCACCTCTTACTTTCAACCCCAGTGCCTATCTGCACAGCTTTGCAGTGACAGCCACATGGCACAGAGACACCTTGCTTCACCTCTCCTGAATTCTTGCCTGGAGTTTGGGAAGAGCTGGTTTAGCCGTATATTCTCTGTTGCCAAAGCTAATCTGTAGCATGCACTGAGCCCTGGGCAGAACAATGCTGCATTAACCTGTTTCTCAAAAGAGCCCATTAAATGAAGCACCTGAACATTTTTCAGGTAAGACAGATACACGTGTTTACCAGGTACAGTATTTTGTAGGAAGGCAGCTTACAGAAGCAGTTGGCAGCCTCTGAGTACAGGTAACAGGCAGCCGCAGTTTCCAGTCTGTCTCACCATCCAGCTGGTCAGTGCGAAGGAAGCAAGACCCTGTGGATTTTCAACACCAGTCAGTGCTCTTTTCAGATGTCTTAAGTACATCTATAACTCATGAAGTGGCTTCTTCAGTATCTAATGTCAAGTGTCTAAACAGTATCTAATTTCAAGTAACATTTGTTAATAATATAAGAATGATATTCTTGCATCACACATTAATTTCCTTCCACTAGTCCAGAACACAGTGAGACTCTGTACTGTATCTTTAAGACACATGAAATATTCTCATTAGTCTTTTTGTTTTCTAATCCTTCTGATCAAACATTTCCTTATCCTTAACAAAGCAAACCTGAACAGCAAGTCAAATGATTTACATCTAAAACACAAACTGTTACACAACCAGATTAATTCACCCCGGATTCAACCATCTACATTCTTTGACTAGCAAACAAAACCAGAGAATAACATCCCAAGAAGTGGCAGTCCATAAAAGCATTTGATTTCTCTCTCTAAAATTTTACTATTATCTATTTCTTTCACATTTCCAAAAGATAATTTTCTCTAAACAACCAGTGAAAGGTTAATGGCTATTTTGACAATTGGTTCCAGATGTTTACCATTCTTCTCTGACGTCCTCAGGAAGATCATGTCAGCAGGGACCCTCTGGTTCTGTTAGGAGAAGAAAGGCCATTATTGTGCATACACCCCTGCACGCGTGTGCAGCCGCCTTCCACAGCCCCACCGTGACAAGCCAAGGGGGTATGGAGCAGAAAGGGGATTTCTTTGTCAAGCTGAAGCTTGATACTCATTTTGCTTTGAATCCTAAACTCACTTCCCTGCAGAATTCCAAGTGCAGAATAATAACTGGTGCCAGCTCCCACTGATCAGACCCACCAGCTAGGTTTACAAAAGGGCCAGTGAGTAATTCTAGAAGTACGAAGAAATTTTAAACTAATGCTGGTTTCCTTTCAAGAAGTCCCATGCTAGAAGAAAGCACGTATCTGGAATCTACAGCTGCCATGTTTCTCTTTTTTTGTACCAAATATTTTCATATTAATGGTTTTAGAGGTTATAGCTGCCTGCACAGAGAACGTGTGGAGAAAAAAAAGAAAACTGTGGATAAAAAAAAACAAACATAAACTTGTATAAAGGGGGAAATATATCCATACGTACCAGTCCCTACAAATGGATCACTGAGTCTCCCAATACTTGTGGTGTTTACCCCCAAAGCAACACTTGGATGTTGTGTTTGTATAAGGTATTTAACCTGTGTCCAACAGTCAGAGATAGGACCAGGGAGGCTTTTTATCTTGTTACAGCGCAAGTGGAAAAATTAGTTTCTAAATGCTATCTACAGATTTGTTCTCATTTATAAAGATGATGATGCTGTTTTGGTAGGGAGGAGGAACCCTGAAAAGCGATTAAATATTGTAACTAGTGTTCAACACTTGAAATTCTAAGCCTATTATAAAACAAGTATGACTTCAAAATACCTCACCTTCGATGGTCTTGAAAAAAAAGAAGTACTTCACAGAGAAAAGATGCACATAAAGGCTAACCTTTTCAACAATGATGAGGTCGCCTACTTGTATATTAGAGCTCTTCACCTTCACAGTCCCTGCAAAGGAAAGATACCAGTGCATTAGAGCAGCAGCAGGACAGGGCTTGTGGGTGCTGTGTGATGCACCTTACCTCCCTCCCTTCCACTGCACTATCCAGGAGAAAATGGGTAATGTTTCTATCACAAGAATTAGGCAACGCTGCCCTGTGAAGACTTACTAAGCCCACTGGTTCCACTGGGTAAAGCAGTGGGTCTCAATCTGCAAAAAGGGCTGAAAGCTTCTTGTCTAACAGCTCCAGATCTCAGTCCTGGACACAGAACCCCCCCCGGTCACTCTCTAGTGACAATTCTGAAACAAGCCCTTAAATATTTCTTTTGAACTGCTTAACCCAGGAATTTAAAAATACTTTCAGCATCAGACAGACAACAGAGCGAGAATAGGAAAATTACAATAGGGAACCATCAACTCCCAACTCCTTTTCCTTAGGTGGTTGAAAATTTAAAGCTCAACTCACAAGCCAAGACCTAGAAAGCTGTCAGTCCTATCAGCCCATCCTAAAAAACAGGCTCATTTCCTCCTGTGCCGCAGCTCTTGTATCTGGTTCAGCTCTACCACCTTTCCTTTTCCTCTCAATGGACACAGCCTGAACAAGCCCTGCAGAGTACAGGTCCTGCAGAAAACACGTAAATATTTATTTCTTTGCAGCTGTCAAACATTTCCCAGTTGCTTTAAAACACAGGATTAATTTAACAATTGCCTAGTAATTTCAAATCATTAGCCAGCTCTAGATTTGGCTTCTCAGACTAACTAGTGATTTATAATCAGTTAATTTGAACCCTGCCTCTATGTGTCTGTCTGTTATATTTCAACAAAAGCCTCTTTAATCTGCTGTGATTTGAGTGGAAGTGGGGGAGGCACGTGGAGCTCACCCCAGCACGGACAACACTCCTACTGTACCTCGAAATTCATGGGCTAAATGGCCAGATAGCAGCTCAGGGGGAAAGGAGAAGGGGGAAGGGAGGGGGAATAGAAATTAGCACAAAGCACAAAGGTCACTGGGATTTTACTACTGGCAGTCCCTTCATTAGCATCCTTCTCAGGATATGCTTCAGTGTTTCTGCTCCAAATTAACAATGAAAGCCATTCTGGGTTCCCGGCAGCCTGCTGCTTTGGTGACACACTGTGTGCTTAACAACATGCTTCATCACTGCTGCTAATAAATGCAGACTTCCTTACATGCTGTAATTATTCCTACAAATTATAAGCAGCCCTGGCCCATTTCACAAATATCTCATAGGTCTTTCAGGGATGCTGGGTTTTGCCTTGCGAGAATTTAGTTTAAAAAACAAAGGGTAAACAAAATGAATGCTGGGCTAAAGACATCTCTGCCGGGGCAGGAAGCATACCGGGGATTAAGAGTCCATTACGCAGAGGCTTGAAAAGAAAAGCCGCACTCCAAGAGGATCCAAAAAAGCATCCCTGGCAGTCTTCTGTATGGGCTATACAAAGTTAGGTACTATGACACTAAAAGGGTCTGACAGATAACATCTCTTCCTCCCCTTTTAATACGGTTATTCACAAAACAACAAAAAGTGCTTTTGAATATTCTCCTGTGCAGAGGGAAACCCACCCCCCCCCTCCGTGTGCTCTCCCCACATGGGCATAGCAATTCCTAAAACACTGTGCAAAAAAAATCTCCTGGAAGGAAAGCTGGATTTGTTTAACCATATTTTATGTATTTCTCTTAAAGATCACAAGGATTTATTTGGTGACTATCAGTATAGGAAACACTACCTGCAGGGTTGAAGAATGGAAGCTTAGTTTTGTAGTGCTTTCCTTAATGATGTAAATTCACACTCAAAAAGAAAAATTAACGCCTGGACAAAGCTACAACGTGATGATTTCCTACCATTATGCACATAAAAGGTTTTTTGGATCATTATTCTCAAAACAGTATCATCTGCTTTAAAGTTTTTCCAATGCAAGAAAAATCAAAGCACCTGGAGCAGATTTGTCTTGTTCAATAACCCTCCCAACCTCAGCTGTTTTAAGGTAAAAGAAAGAGAGGACCTTTCTAACCAATACACATTTTTATAACTGCTGTATAAATGAGATGCCCTTTTTAGGTAGCAAAGCTAATTCTGCTTTTGCAGCCATACTCCTGGCCTCTCACGGATGACATCTCTGCAGTATGTACCATATGTCCTGCTAAGAAGGCGCGGGACCAGATGTTTCCTTTGACTCATGACTCCCATAAAGCAACTTACTTGAATTAGTTTTATTTTGATCTGGGGAATTCTGTAATTCCTTTTTCTCTTTGTGGGGAAACTACCTCCTAAACAGTAGATGTTTTCTCACGCACACTTAAGAAACTAGCTAATAACACAACTGCAACATTTCCAAATATTGCTCTGCTATTAACCTATTTTTTAAATAATAAATTACTGCTTTTTTAAATGCATCTAGAGGTGTTTCCTCTAAACACACATAGCTTTATTTAGCATTTACAATGCTTCCAGATTATATTTTCAGAAGTTAATCAGAACATAAATCGGTGATTAACACATTTTTTTAAAAAAGGCTTGATCTCCTGTTTTTTTTAAAAAAGAATCAATTCTTAATATTTGATTGATTCAGAACATAAATCGGTGATTAACACAATTTTTAAAAAAAGTCTTGATCTCCTGTTTTTTTTAAAAAGAATCAATTCTTAATATTTGATTGATATTTGTTTTTCTTTTCTGTATCCTGATTTATATATTTTTTAAAGACAAGAAAGTAAACACAATGAAATGCAAACAGTTTGCTCCAACTTCAGCTATGACCTTTGGAATTATCACCAAACTTGCAGCGTGATGGATGTACCATAAAGCAGATAAAGTATTAAATGAATGAGGCAGAAGAGATGCCTTTTTCTACCATGTGAGCACTTAAGTCAAGCTTTCACAACAGATCTGCTGAGCTTCATTAAGGTACAGATCAAAACACTTTATTTGGCATTAAAGATGAAGACAGTGGTTTATTAAAACTAGCCAAATGCATCTGAAAAAAAAAAAAAAAAGCATTGTTTGGATGTGCTGCACCAAACTTTTGGCTTTTGCAGCCTTATGCTGTATAAACTGTGGAGCAGGACTCAGAGGGTTTGGGAAAATATTGTTTTTATATGGCTGGTAAATGCCAATGATCTGTATCTTAAGTAGCACCCCGCAGTAGGAGGTCTCTTCCCATTTCTTTCTGCAGAGTTTCTCTCTATTATGCAGCGTTACCCGGGGAGGGGGGGCTGCAAGAGAAGAAAAACAAACCAAGAATTTGCAAGCACAGTTCTAGCTTTCTATCAAGCAGAAAGCCAGCACACAGACTTCTGAACACAAGGCAGCTTGTAGGTTTATGAATAGGGGATTGAAATTTGATTATTTTTTATTACAATCCAAACAACTGTCCTTTAAAAGGAGAGCTTTCTATTTAAAAAAAAAAAAAAAATGCTTTCCAGAAGTCTGCTGGTTTCATCATTTTGGAACATAAATGGATCATATCAGTAGAAAGAGCAAACAGGAGTTTTTTTGATCTTATCTAAAATAAAGGAAGGCAGAAATATACTACTGTAATATACTAGAAATATACTACTCTGCTTCATGCTGCCCTCCATAAAAATTGGTCCCTAGAATTCAGCAACCATGTTAAAAAATAAAATGTGATCCAAAGAGGATTCCCCCTTTTTCTCTACAACACAGCTTAGTGAATCTTAAAAAGCTTAACAAGAGGATTGAATGAAAAAAAGTTCCACGTACAGGAGCAAAGCTGTGACTCTACAATGCCCCCCCCAGGGTTGGGGGTCCAGGCTGGCGGGTGTGCTGGAGCTGGAGAGCTCCGGTGGCTCTGCATGGGGTGTGAAGAACTGCACACAAGGAGGACGTGAGGATCTCTATTCCAGAAAACACTGAAATCTGTGCTTATTCCTATTCAGAACTGCATATAAGCATGTGCTTAAGTCTCCCTGACTTCACTCAGACCTGAGAGTGTATTTACATCCATGGGGTTGTTCTGGGGAGGCCAAATTTGCAGATAGGAAAAACTATTCTCCAGCCACCTTAACAGCAGCTTAGTAATTTAAATACTCTGGGGAAATAAAAATAGCTTGGAGAAAGCTACAGAGCTCCATTTGATCCATTATAGCCAACGTTCAAGAACAGCAGTGCTCAGTGTCAAGCTTCACCTAATTTCCCCCCCTCAAAACACTGGCTTTTAGAGGTGACACTATTGTGATTTTCAAAAAAATTATATAGCAACATTTCAGAGGGCTTTTGTGTATCAATACCCTTCTGCACTGCCCCTTTCAGTACAGAGCTGTGCCAGTATCCTAAAGCATGAACTGTGCTATTGAGCACACACACACAGACAAAAAAAACCCCCACCACAACCAAAAATGAAGAACCAGGACTGTTTGTCCAAGTTTTGTCAGCTACACTGAAAAATCAATGGTTAAGATCAGCTGTTCTCAGCTTATTTTGGTTTTTGCAGCTTCTACTTCTGACCTGATGAAGGGCTTCCTTAAAAGCTTGTCTAGTTTTTCTAACTGTACTAAAATACGTAATAAAAAAACCAAACACTTCTCCATCCCACAGTCACAGTGGCTTCACAAGGGACTTCCTTGCTCCGAGGCGATTCTCAGGGGTGCTAAGGTTTTAATCAGTGAAAAAGTGGACGTTCAGGTGCCCTGAAAAGCTCAACTACTGAGACACACTAGATTCAGTGAGAGACTGAAAATTACTTTTCTCTCCAAAACACAAGTCAAATCATATGCAGTTTTCTGTGGTTTTCCTACTCTAAACAATACTGCTAGAGAGTCTCACTCCTGTTTCTGCACCAAATTCATGTTAAATAAAGTGGCTCAAGATTTTCGGCTAGTGCCCAGCTGCCAATCCCCCTTGGTTTCTTTCACAAAATTAGAAAAGTTAAAGGACTGGGGGGAGGGAAATCATTCATGGGAAACGTAATAGCAATATGAAAAGAACTAAAGGAGAGGTCAGGCCCCTTATAGATCATTGAATAGAATCCAGAAGGCAACTCTTTTATATCTTTAAATAGATGTAGTACACCCCTCTTGGATGAGGCTTTTGTTGGTTGCCAAGCATTTTAAGTGTTGTAGTAAGAACATGTTATTAAAAGGGGATTTAATATTCAGAAACTCAAACTCCGTAGTTTGGAGTTGCCTCATAATTCCTGACATGTGAAATATATACAGCCTTACACAATTATGTTTAAAAAGCAGCCTTATTCTTAAAAGTGCAAGTGTTGAAAGCAACACATTTTTACTACACCTAGTTCACAGCATCTTAATTCAGAGGTATAACATTTTATAACAAAGAACAAATAACAATGAAAAAAAAGAGACTGCCTAAATTCAGTTCATTCCCTTTTTAAAAAACAAAACCCTGGCCTCACCATCATTGTCACAGTATTAGGGGTAACTCCATAGTGAGGCAGCATTCTATTTTTCAAATGAGAATTTAAATGTCTTTGTTAGGTACGGCACAGCTGTAAACAATGGCCAGAGCCAGGGATCAGACCCAGCTGAGCTGCAGCCTGGGCTCACTTACAAACCAGGTCTCCAAACTCCTCACAGTTGGAGAAAGGGGGTAAAGATGATGTATACAAAAATACAAGAGAAGATATTGCCAACATTGAAGAACTACAGCAGTTCCTGCTAAAAGAGAAAAGCACATAGGACGTGGTAACGTATCACAAAGTCTCTTTCAGCAAAGAGCTTGCATGATGTAAGTCCCTGTCTGGTAGAAGACAGAAAAAACTATGAAACTCCACCAGTACTGCATGTTCAGTAAGTGATGGAACATGTCAGTATGTCAAGCAAGTTACCTTAAATTTAACACATGCACTCACAAGCTCCTTCTGTGCACAGAGTACTTGTACTTAACTATGATTTGCGGTACCTGTGCTGACGGGGTCCCCGGTCCTAGACACTAGAGCACAGCCTGCCCTCACCTTCATTATTGGAATCTACCTCTGCATAACCATCTTCTGACACTTTCACAGACCTATGTTTAATTCTTCTACTGAAGTGCTTTTGCAGATTATCTGTGTAGATCCTCCTCCCTTTTTTAAGCACACATTTGTTGTTTCCATTAAAGAATATAGTAGAATATGGTAGCTTATAGGAATCCTTCTTACATCTATCTCTTTTACTGTCAGGGTGAACAAGCAAAAAACACATGCGGGGGAAGACAGGTGCACCATTACCAAAAGTGGAAGAAAAACAATCCAAGAAATCGCCAAACAACATATCATATCTACTATAGCTCCATTCTTGTTTTCTTCCTACTATGCTGTTTGCTGTATCTGCCTCTCCCTTCCTTTATCCATGCAACATTGAATGCTTCTCTCATGTCACAGCTTTGCAGGAAGGAAAACACATTTCCCTTCTGGAAACATCCACCTCCACAACCTAGAGCAATTCAAGTCCCGTTTCATTTTCTTTGGTAACTTCAATCCACCAAGAAGGGACAATAAATGGGGGAAGAAATTTTGCCCTACACCAGAGTTAGGAGAAAGCAGGGTTTAAAAACACCACATCAGTTGCTTGGAAGTTTAACCCCTGCCTGGTGCTAGCTACAGTGAACTCCCAGCCCACCACGCAGGTTGCCACACATGAAAATGCCTGCTCCCCACACCTCGGGTCACCAAGATGATGCTCTGAAGTTATCCGAGGCAATTAACCTCCCCCAGACCCCCGCGTTAGCTGTGCATCTCCCTGGGAAACCCTCAGCAAAGCCCAGCATCCACCACCGTCCGGCGAGGAGCCATCCATGAGAAGCCACCCGGCCCCCCCAAGGCCCCCGCAGCGGCAGGAGCAGTGGCGTGGCCGCGAAGCCACGTGCCTGCGAGCCCGCAACCCCCCTCCCCGTTCCTTGAACTCTTGCTTCTCCGACTGTCAGCAGCGTTTGATTGAGTTGCAACCCCCGGCGCTGCGGCAGCCGTGCCAGGATGCAGCGGGCGCGCTGGAGCCGCCGAGCCGACCTCTGGCTGTGAGCTTGCTGTAGATCTGCGAGTTCACTTCCTTGTCGCGCATGTAACATCTGATCTCCTCCGCGGCCTCTCGGATGACGGTAACAGCGAGCACAAATCCCTAAAAAGGGAGCATGGAGAGTTGGGGGGGTGAAACGGAATGGATGAAAAGGTCAGGCAAAACCACATCTGCCTCTAATAAGAGCAATATTTATCAGTATCAGTGCCAACAATCTGCATTTCCTTATTCTATCTTCTCTCACTAAATCATTAGAGTGATTTTATGCGCTGCTGTGCAGAACTCCCAACAGCGAACCGACAACAGACTTGTTGCTTAAAAAAAAATACGGCTGTTTCTCAGCTTTATGTGATCCTCTGCCAGTACCTCCCCAAGCAAATCTTTGTAAAACTTATCTAAAGAGTGTAAATAATGGATTTCATCTCATTTCACAGGTGAGTAACCAAGACTGAGAGAGGTTACACAAAAGTCCAGTGTAAAACAGGATCCCTCAAATCTCAGTACTCCCTCCACCACAGAGCCATCCAAGTTAGCTCACCTAATCTGGGAGATTTCTTTATATAGAAATCTATATAGAAATTTATATAACCACTTTTTTATATCTACCAATATATAATGCATGCGTATCCATATGTATGTACACACACACTCAACCTACACAAATAAGCACTCTAAATATATTCACGTGAACTACTCATGGTATAATTACAAATTTGTCTAATTAGGGTTTCAGTCCTACTTTTCTGGGAATATGAGCAGTCATTTCATTTCCCCTTGTCATGAGGAAAATGCCCACATTACATACTTCACTACATAAAAAAATAACTAAATTCATGCAAAACAATTATTTATGGGGCTAGTACCACAAAGCCATTTTTTTATTAGGCACTACTCAGCTCAAACTCACTGAACTGTTAGAACACTCCTCATCATTACAGAAGAGAAATAACTTTTTACAGCCTGCACTCTTGAAAATTGCAACCATGTACTGATTATCTCTGTCAATAAGAAACTTCGTATTTTAAGAAAGGGGCAGGGTGATGTTAGAAACTGAGTTACATGAAAAACACACAAAAGTATCTGTAAATATCCACCTACCCAAACAGGAGATTTTGCCAGTGGATTTCAATTTCCAACTTTAAATAACTTCATTTTTAGAAAAAATGGCTATGTACACACCTCCAAAGTCTGTGTGTACGAGTTGCTAAGCTGGGCACAAAAAACTTGTGAACCTGAACTCCACAACCACCTCAGGAAAGTCTTGCTGTGGAGCATTGCTAACACTACCCAAAACACTAACAATTAAAATTCTCACCTATTTTTAAACAAAGGGAAATGATGAAGAGTGACCTAAGAGCAACTAAGACTGAAGAAGGGCAATTTCTTTCATTATTAAAATACTGAGGTACACTTCACCTGCCACCTCTCACAATCTTACAATAAAACTAAATATTACCTATTTCTAGTATATACATATGCATTTAAATGCATGACCTAGATTAATTAATATGTCTTGAAATGCAATGTAGTACATTTCTGCAGTATTTAAATTGCAGATGCCTGAAGAGACCCAAGGATGGGCAATTACTTTTTTTAAAAATGCTTGTATTAAATCCTGTATTTACAAATGTTGAAAGTAAGAAGCCATGAATATAATATTTTCAGAGAAGTGCTTCAACCCTCAGTGCTCAGGACCATAATCATGGAAGATCACTTTCCCATAGCCAACAAATCAAGAAAAGAACGAACATTTCTCTTCTATTTAAAAGTGGCATTTGCGAATTTGGCTAGAAATTTCTATCTGCTTTCCAAAATAAAATAAAAAAGCATGTTACTTTCAACTTCTGTTTCAACTGTTTGAAGAGTCTTCAAATAATCACCCCAAAATATTCCCACATGTGCCGACTCACTGTGTCATCTCATATGTCATTCCATCCCTAACACTCGTACTAGCAGCCAGTAATGAACAAAGACCTTTCTTATACGGCTTTCTGGCAGCTCATATGCCAAATTCTAATTGCTCACCTGGCACAGACAAGTCACAACTGCCTATACAAAACCCAGAAGGAGAGAGCCTCTGGGTGCATGTATACTTTATTTATAGGACAAGATCTTATGAAACTAGCATTAGATTCATGCAGCAAATACAATACAGCACACACTCGAGAGAAAGAATTCAGTGAGATCCAGGCTTTAATACAAACAATTCTAGCAGCAATGTCCCAAAGCTGCCCCTTTCACTTCTTTCTGGCTTTGATTAGGAATTTCACTGCGCTGAAAATTTCCTTTGCCCCTCCTCAGCTCCTTCAATAGAGCTGCGAATTTTTACCATCACCATTTCTCAAACTAGTGTACAAGCACTTCAAAAGGTCCCTGTGCTTTTTAAATCAATTTTCAATTGGTTTTGTGTCATCTGTTTAGTCAAAATGATGTCTATCCTTGGAGATTTTCAAAACTCAAGTAGATGAGTTAAATCAACCTAAGTTTAAAGAAAGCCTTGCTTTAAACAGTTGGACCGGATGTCCCTCTGCATCAGAAAAATTCTACAGTACTATGAGTGCAGCAGAGAAGTTATTCATGTAGAAAGAGAAATAATAATTTTCCTGGGATAAAAGAAAAAAATATCTAGGTACCTATATTTAAGCATTTAAGCAGTTGTAACTGGCTCATGCAGTGCATTTTAGAGCCCATTTATGCAACTATTCCTCTTTCTGTCCTTTGACAGCACTGTTTCAAAACTGATTATTATTGATTTCCTTTGATTGCAGGTGAAACACACAGCTATCAGAACACGAGGACAAATAATTTACAGGAAGGAAAGAGTATCTGCACCTTGAGTGAGTGTGAATGAGTGTGTGAGAATATGCCTTTATATATTGATTTTTATATGCAGGAGGTTGTGAGGGGGTGTTTCTCTGTTTTTTCACTTGTTTTTTACAATATGGTTACACTACGAAGCAGCCTGTTGACCTATCCCAAGGCCATAGGTCAAACTGTTTGGCAGGGGAGCATAATTTGCCATCATTGCGCATATGGCCACTCATTAAGGTCACTCCTGAAAGGTGCCCTTCGGTCCTTCACTGCAGTTGCCAGGAGGGTCTGGGCTCCTGCAAGCACTGGCCCTTGTGAGATCACCCCACACGCCCCCTCCATAAGCACACCGTATGTTCAGCTGTGAACAACATACACATTGCTCCAGCCTCCATTCATTTTCTCATGTTATATATGAAGCCCTACTGCCCTTGCAGACACCGTGACCAGTGGCAAGAGCTCTGTGCCTGTTAACACCCCAGTTAGTTAGGGGCAGTCTCTCTCACATTCTTGTCAAACCTCTACAAAATAAAGCTTAAGGCCAGAAGAGGCATCCATGCTACAACACGTATAGAGCTGGCCTGAAGAAGCAAGCTAACAAAATTATTTACAGTGCAAACGTACGCTGTAGAGAAAAGGCAGTAAAAGAAATTTCATCAAAATGAAACTCTCTTGAATAAATAAACCTTAAGTTACCTACCAGGGGAACCCAGTATGTGTAAAGTGCGCCAAGCCTCATTTCAACAACAAACTGAGAGCAGGCCAAAAGCAAGAAATAAAGGTTGAAGAAGTATTTGAACTGGTTAAACAATACCTAAAAAAAAAAGAAAAAAGAAGAGGGAGAAGATTAATGGAGCTCAGAAGTTATGCCTATTGAACTAACCACCAGAAACACTTGCATGGTCTTCTAGTGTCTAAATGCTATCTTAGGGCAGTCTGAAAGTAGTCCTGGACCCTGAGGACAGATCCATGTCCAGTTTGCTGCTGCTCTAAGTCAGTCTTTGCAGGAAGCCCACCAAACACAAGCCAAACATTAATTATTTTCTCCAGTTCCGGGTTCTGCACCTGTCTGCTATAAAGCCACTGAAATTGGGGAAAGCATTGTGGTGGGGTGATGAAAAGCAACTTTCTTCACACTTACCCCAGGGAGAAATGTAAAAAAGTTGTATTTCTGATTGTTGATCACATTGCGAGGGTATCTCTGGTCTCTCTTCTCTGGATGGCCAAGCCAAACAGTACGAGGCCTTGGGTCTCTCCTTCCACAGCATCTTAAACACTCACAACACCTACAGAATGAACATTAATTAATAAATGAGTTAATTTTAACAGATTTTTATGGCACACACACGGACCCCAGACACTCTGCCAGCCAGGCAGAACAGCTTCTTCATCTGTCACTCCCCACCTCTCATCTGTCAATTATCCACTATATTATGAGCATCTTATAACCCAGAGCTTGACTTTCTACCAAATACAGACACTTCATCTGCTACAGCCACCACAGACCTGGCTTGCAGTCCACTGAACTGTGAGCAAACATCTCGTATGGTGTTGGAGCTGTAACTAAAACATCATGCAACCACACGTTCAAAGCTGGGCAGGCCTGCAGCAGAGCTAGAAATGTGTCTGCAGCAAGGAGGGCTGGGGAGGCTCTTTGCTTGGCTGTCAAGAAAACAATGCATGGAGAAGCATGGACCAAGCTCATCACCACACTGAGTCAGTGCTGGCTGCTGGGCGAGCTTCAGGAAGCAAGGAGGTGTGGGGTACAAGCAGATAGGTCCCCTTGCACTGATCCTGGATTGCAGGTTTTATGCCAGAAAGCTCCGTGAAAAAAAAATAAAATAGTAACTGGTGCTTTCTATTATGTCTTCTGTTCCCTTGTTGGTGTATGTAAACTCCCTCAAAAGGGGGCTTTACCTTAACTGAACTTAAAACATGAATGCATGTACGTAAAGAGATCTCACGTGTCCTAAAGAAAAGATGAGATGGAGACGGACAGAGATTCTCCTTCCCTGCAACCCCTGCTTCACAGAAATTTATATCTTCTTAAATAGATGGATTTAATATTTGCATATTTGAATTTTTGCACTTTAAAACAGTCTTGCCAAGTAATAATAATCTCTAATCCTCTAAAAAGGAAACCATAAGAGGAATCTGAAAATAGACACTAAATGATTACTGGTTTTATTTTTATACTGTATTACAGCCTTTAGCTCTGTTTATGTTAATGGCAAATTGTATGGTAACTACCCATGAATAACACACATTCTCACTGACTGAGAACAGGCACTGTAGATCCAGCTACACAGTCTCAGTTTGTTACTGTAGCCGTAGTGATCCATATTTTCAGCTCTTCAGCACCACCGCCGGGGCTGCGAGTGTGGGCAGCCCAGAGCAACACCTGGACCACAAACCTGAGCTGCCACAGAAACCACTGCAGGGATTTAAGTTCATCCTCTTTTCAATCAGATTACTACAATATAACCTCTGATTTTTCCTGCATTTTTGTCTACTTTGTAAGCAGCATTGGTTCTTGTTCCATTAAATACTGTCATGTTTCAATTATCCAGCACAATTACTTTTTTCATATCTTGCAATGCCAGTTTTCCAAAAATTGGTCAAAATAAATAAAATATGAACACATCAGCATGCTGATTTTTTACTTTTTCAACTCAGGGTTACATCAAAGCTGTTTATTTAAAATCATTCATGGCTTTTGCTAGAAGTTACATGGGAATTTGGGAAAGTCACATCAACTTCACTAAAACTGATATGGTTCCTAAAGGGTTGTGTCTTTTGTCCAGGAAGATATTTAAAATCCAGGGTAGGAGACATGAGCTCAGCTAGATGGAACCAGCACATCTCCTTCACCTCCCCTCATGGAGGGTCCCCTCAGCAGCCATGGCCCAGATGGGCCCCAACCTCTCCCTGTTTCTGTCAGGGAGCTCTGGAGAGTCAATAAAGAAATCCCAGTGATGGCACATAATGCCTATATTCAAAATTACCCAGGTTAAAATCTCCTCCAGCACACCGTTGGGTGCCGCACACAACAAAACTGTATTCCCTCTTTTGGAAACCACTGCGCTGCCTACAAACTTCAGGCCAGGGGCTGCTTTTGTCAACTCAAAGACCCCAGGAAAAACACAGAGGATCAACATGTAATTCGTTAAGCAACGCTAACAGCAGAGAATCGCAACTTACTTTCCACAGGCCAGAGCCTGCCCACCGCAGCCCCAAGGCTGGCCGCCATCAACATGAGGCACCTCACAGACCTTCACCTCAGCCAGCCCGAACGCAGTGAATAAAACCTTGTGCTGCTGGACATAACAAATCCTTAATTGCAGCAGTGAATCACACAGAGCACTGGTTACTTCGTGGGAGATGCAAGGACTTATCAGCGTTCCCTCTTGTACCTTGAAAAAGCCTCTCTGTTCAAAATTGCAGCATTGTATCCTCCCAAACCCCAAAAGGGTCATTTTTCTGTTGTCACTGCTTCTTACTGAAAGCCAATCTCTTCTCAATCCCTCTTGTACCTTTCAAAACAGCCCTATTGAATTTCATTGATATTTGGGAAAGCCAGTATCAGCCAGACTGATAACCAAAAGCTTCAAAGCTCTTATAAACATCTTTCCAGAAACCACTGCTGAGATCTGCTCTCGAATCACAGCATTCTGCTGCAAATGTTTAGTTAAATACACGCTTAATCAAAATAAATAACTATTTAAGTAAGTAAACAAAGCATTCGGCCCCTGCAGCATGATGAACAGAGTTTACAACTCACCACGCAAAAGGTGGTTCTCCACAAAGACACCATGTTTTATGCCTTGCTGGATGCAAACAAACAGAAGGAAGTGTTATCAGTTGAGTCAGTTCCTTCAGTATATTAGAGGAATAAATTCGGCTTTGCTTCTAAAAGTAAAGAAAAGGTGTCACCACGGGATTCACTGCTCCACGAGCAGGCGTAGACATTAGCTTCACAAGGCTGACTTGCAAGATAATTTCTCACAAGCTTTTAAAACTAGACAAAATGATTTTTGCATAATCAAATTACTTTGACATTATTATATTTCATGAAGAGTGGCAGATGAGCCCTGAAAGGGTGGATTTTCTCTAGTCTGTACTCAAGAACAACCGAACCTATAAGCGCACAGGTGCCACCCAAACACAGGAGAGAAGATTTTCTTGCTAAAGCAGCTTTCAGACAGAAATGCTGAGAAGATAGCAGAGCACCCACGCATCAGTAGTGAAGGAGCATGAAATCACAAATTTCGGATGGTGCCAAATCTCTCTTACCAGCTCCATGCAAGTCAAACTCTCCATTCCAAAACCAGAGTACTTGTAAAGTCCTTCAATTTCAATAACAATCTCGCTGCTTTCACCTACACACATTTATCACTGACCACATAGAGGTCAGCTTTTGCAAAACCTCAGTAGTTGTCAACTCTGACTTGCAAACTGTTCATTTGCTGAAGGAAAGTTAGGAGAATGCAGGAAAATCTGACAGAAAAACACAGTGGGTGATGCAAACTGCTCAAAACCCTGATAGCAATGCACACCTCGATCAAATCACTGGAATAAAATAATTGGAGATGCTTTTCTGTTCAAGTATGTACAAGAGACATCTGACTAAATGTAGCCCACTTGAAAAAGGTACTCTTGACCCTGAAACTATCAATTTTGGCAAAAAAAAATTATATACAATTTTTTTTCTTGTTAAGAAAAACTAACTAATAGATCTTTCTTCTCCATGTAGTTGTATATAATATCCATATCTGAAAGGCAGTTACCAAACTATATCAAACTATAAAGTTGGTATTAAACACTCAGATTCATAAACTCTACTTCAGAAGTACATTTTCTTAGCTTGATAACTTTTAATTGCAGTTTTGTGTTTGCAGATGAAGACCCAAGACAAACAATCACTTGTATCTGAAATGAATTTTAATGGAAAATAGTGAAAATGGTGGTATAGATATGGTCTATGAAGCAATAATGGAGAAAACGACACAAGATTAGCCTTGATTCCATATTTTAATGACTGTGAATCCAGAATGACCTCTATGATAAAGCTCCAAATAAGAGGCTTTGCCCAAGGAGCAAATCTAGTGTCCATACACCCCATTTCATCACAATGTGCTTCCCAGTTAGAGAGAGTCAGTCGGTCCTTGTAATCAGACATCTGAAACCAGTTACCTTTGTTTATTTTTTAGGCTGGGCCTCTTCCAGGGATTGTACTCAACAGCAAAAATACCTACACACCTATATCATAATATTTACAATAGGATAAGGCTCAAAGAAGGTACTACTTAATGCCCTCTATTAGATTAATAGAAGGTACTTAGTTCCCTTATTAGTTTAATAATTTTTTTACTTGTGCTCTTCATATTTTTTTTTCTTTTACAAAGTAAAATTCACCGATACGCTCCAAAGAACTTTCCAAATATCTGGGCAGATCTTCAAACCGATACCTAAATCCCCAAAGCAGATCATTTTAATAAGTTCAATGACTTATCAGCATTTGTTTGTAAGGGTATAAGAAAATGGAAAACGAACCCCACAAACTAAGCACAACATTTTACCTCAAGATGAGTACACTACGACCGACTGTTTACATACAATTATATTGCTTTTAGTCTTTTCCAAATTACTACAAATTCACTACTCTGAATGCTAACACCAACTACCACGAAACCGCTTATGCTCGTGCTTTTCCAAATGAGATGGCAGCCCCCAATACTGACAGCACCTACAAAGGCAGGGAAGTAGAAGGCAATTTCAGAGATGTGAAATGACCCAAAATTTAGCACATGTTCTGTAATTAAAGCCATGACCTCTTGTAGCGTTCCCACCGCAAAGATACTTGTTGCTGTTAAGAATGAGAATTTACAAATGCTGTGTTACTACCAGGTTTGTGAATCAAGCTAAAAATAATGCAGTTCCAAGTATAAGGAAGAAAGGGCATGGGAGAATCTGCTGTGTAAAAATAACAGTTTTGTGAAATTCCTGCCCGGATGGAGTCACAGTTTTCGCAACCTCCTGAATTACAGGGAAAGCAAACTGAAAACCTAATTAGACAAACAAAAGAAAAACTTCCTGCCTAGCAAGTTTGTGAAAGCGATTATCAGTAGTATCAATGCTCAAGCAAAGAATACCCAGCATTTCTACTAAGAAGTCTCCCACATAGCCTTTTAGCACAAGGTTTCCATGCCATGTAAAGGAATTCATTAAGGAAAAAAAAAAAGTCCAACCAAGGAACACAATACTACAACTGGCAGTAACAGAGTGGCAGGTTGCGACACTTTAACTGGGGAGGTTTATCAGCGCTTAGGAATCCCATTACGTCAGTGACTCCAAGCCTCCTCCAGAGCCTGGAGCGCTCCACAAGGAACTCCTGCACCAGTGCCTGAAAAAAATCAGCAAATGCTGATTTTTATCCCATATACATTCAAAGATCCCCCAAGAGCTTTTGCTGTGGCGGCACCCAGTCAACCCCAGTGCTGGCATTTAACTCTCACCTATTCCGTAACCGTGTTTTTCCCCCTCTTGTCCCACAGACCACCCAGCACACTGCCTGTGCTCTGCCGGGTGGGCACCGAGCAGAAATCCACAATCCAAACCCCGGGCCAGCGGGAATGTTCAGCAGCAACGGTTACCTCTGCACACTAATTGCGCAAGCGCCAGGGGCTTGTTGAAATAAGTTAGAAAATGAGCTTCTGGTAACACAGACATTTCTCAAGCGCTGCACTCGTTCTTATAGGCAGATGTTTATCACACCCCCAAGATATTAAATTCTCACAAATTTTATTTTTTAAAACTTTTCGATGATGTCTTAAACGTCATTAAGGAAGAATACATTACTAAGCTCATTAGCTCCGCTTTAAAATCCTCTATATGACATCTGTGATCCTTACAAAGCGCTTTACACAGCCAGGAGTGGCTGCAATGTCAGACCGTGTTTTAATCGACTATCAGCAGGTTTCATTGACCCCCCAGGGTCACGTGCAGAGGACGGTTTCCCTACCCCAGCCCTTTCTGTCCCGCATGTCCCAATGTAGCAATGTGAGTACACACGGGTCTCCACAGGCACTTTCGTTACTGCACCAGGGTGTGTTGGCACAGTGTGATACCAGTGAAAGCCCAGCATTCACTGGCCCACTCACAGCAGCCAAAGCAAAACCCCCCAAAGCTGCCAAGGACTTGTACTGCAGGGAGAGACAGTCACACCTTGGGTGAAAAGTCCTGGGCCATGATGCTAAATATCTGACTTGGGATGCCCGCGTGCTGGAATGACAAAACACAGCTCGTACCGAGAGCAAAAGGGAAGGTGTCGCAGAAGGATGGG